AACAAAGTTTTATGTGTTGAAGCCAGTCAGGCCAAATGAAAATCAGTTTGAAGTCGAGTGAACATCGGAAAGGCTTGAATCAGAGAGAGACCTATGCTTTGTTTTGAAACCGACAAAACTGAACCATAGTTTTCTTTCATCCTATTGGACAGGTAAACTAAACTGCAAAGCATGTGCATATATTGTGACATTGTGCTTTACAGTAGTTGACTCAAGTTAGATAACGTCAACGCTGACCAGTTGGTAACTGGTATCCGGTGCAGTTGTATAACTTTCCAAATTACCTCACGACCTATTACGATCCTGTGTGCCACCGTTTTTATGTCAAAGTGTTGATTTAACCAGCAAGAAATTATATAACGTTACAAAGCAAACGTGGAGTGATTTGTTTACATTAGCCAGCTAACATTAGCACAGATCTGCTGCTGTTTGCTTTGTAATGTTCAGTTTAGATTTATTGTCGTTTTACCGATACTCAGGTACACAGCTTCTGCACTGTCGCTGTTAACTTACGTGACCCACATAATAATAATGCAACATAATGGCACAGGACAACAACACAGTAGAAGACCCATTCACTACAGTAATGTTACTTACAGCGGTAAACTGTCATAAAGTGTGGCAAAAATTTATAATATTCAGTCCAACTCACTAACCATTTCATTATCATCCAATACATTTAGCTGTAAGATGCACAAATTTATTGGCAGGCAAGCTAAGTCAGATATTTCATGTCTAACTGAACTATATGCAGTCAATGTAACATAATTATGTCACAATTGATTAGTTCAACGTTAAGATGATAAACTATTACTGTAACGTTGCAGTGGGAGTTTATGTGGGTTTCCAGCATGCTGTGTGTTCTCTGTTCTCTCTCCCGGTGTGTCGGATTTTGCTCGTTTGTGAGTTCCAGCATGTGAATGAGCACATACCAAGTTGCGATCTAAAACCAGCACGGCCAGTGGCCACAGAAAACTACATATAGCCCCTTTAAGGTGATATGTCAATATTGTGTTCACAGCTTGTTTCTGCTGCCCGCAAGTGGCCAGAAATTCTGTTTGTGCAGGTTGCAAATAAAGTCCCGCACACAGGCAAGAATTTGCCTGATGAAGGTCTAGCCCTGAAATGTCGCAAATAAATGTATTATTGCCAGTTAGACCAGTATGCGGGAATTTATTTGCAAATTTTGATTCACTTGTGCCTCTCTTACGTAACTGTCTCATGATATAGATATGCAAAGTATTTATCTGTACTGAGTTAATGCAGGTTAAAATCGTTTTTCAGAATTATAATAATAATTAAACAACAATATATCCCTAAAGGGCATAAGTTACTGGTTTCAGTTATTTTATTTGCATCAAAATAAAAGTTCTTTTGAGCTTTTCACTTGAAACAAAAACATCAGACAACTGAAATTCTACAAACTAGCAAAAACATGAGTGGAAAGAACGGCCTTTTAGGATAATCCAAAGCAGGGATAAACAGCCTCTAAATTTCATTTATCACATGAATTGTTTAGTCCAAACTACCTATTCATAATTCATAAAGCAGATAGAGGTATCCATTCCACATCCTTTCAGGTTGACTGCTGAGAGCTCTTATGTAATGATGCATATGAAACAGTAAAATATTTGCTTTGACAACTATAAACTAGTGAGCCATTTAGTTTTCTCCTCCTCTCAAGTGACTTCTCTCTCTTAAGTGTATCAGTGCATCCTTCCTTCCATTACTGAGAAGTGAGGTACTGGAAGTCTTACTGCACTGTCTTCTCCGTTTAACAGCGCAACAACACAAGTGTAGTCTGTACTCTGGCAGGCACACACTGTGAGGAAGATGCATTTACCGGGATAAGCGGTCTTATCCAATGGGCTGCAATCCATGACACCCTCGCTTCTTAAACACTCTTTTGCACTTACTGGAAGTTTTACTTTCTGAATATAACAACTGCATAACACATTCTGGTGTTTTGTACGTGTACATTTCCAATGCCTGAGAAAGTTTTCTGAAATGGTGAGTCAGAGTAAATGGGTAATAAAAAAAACTATTTTCCTTGCATGTCAAAGTTGTTACTTTTTCAAGTAATTTACTATCCATGATATCCTGCATGTTTTTTGCATTAAAATGATATTTATTGTTGGCACAAATCATATACTATTAGCATCTTTGAAAATAGTCATATGGTCAGCGTTCAAAGACTCGAAACAGCTGCAGCGTACTGCTGTCAACGTGACATGACACATCATCACTTTTATGTAATTGCACATATGGGAGTTAATTTATAATTCATCACATTGTAAAACATGCTGACGGTGCATGTCATGACTTTTCATCATACATGCCTGCTAATATGTGATTCAGTATGTCCTCCATGAATGATTTATGTAGCAGATCTAACTACTGTCAAGTTTGTGCATTGGGTTTGGGGATACAAGCGGGTCTGCGGGCACTTTAATGTCCTGTCTTAGACCTTCTGTGCTTTTATTTAATCATAAACGACAGATTTATTTGTTGTTTTTATTTATTCATATTGTCTGTATTGTATGCGTGAACTTGAATAAACTGATCTCTATCAAAACCTTAATGTTTTTAATCTGTTAGTGACTTTTAACTGAAAGAGCTGCAAACATACAGTAGCTGATAAGTCTACATAAATATTTAAGATAAAAATTCAATTACAGCATCTACAATTTCCACAATATGATGACAGTGAATACTACTAATACAAAACTCATCATGCACCAAAAGCCATTATGATGACATAATATCATATTATGATTTCAACTGAAATTCCTCAAGTGTAAGCTTTATTTTGTTACAAATTGTGTTTTTTTGCCTCCATGTCACTATTATGTTAAAAAAATGTCCCACACTTCCTCCTCTATACTGCATTACAAAATGGATATATAGAGATATTTAAAGAACAAAAATAAAGCAAACATGCCAAATCATTGGAGTAAAATGTGAAATCCCTCCTCACCACTCCTAATTCAACTTATTCAGTTTTTTTTCTTAACAACCTTTCAGATAAACCAAGCTTCAGCATTAGCAGTTGTACACTATTTACACTAAGTACCTTGCTGAATGGCCTAACTCAAAAATCTGTGTGTTTGTAAAAATGGATATTTATTTGTCATTCAGCCAATATTACATTTGTCCATGTAGAGCAGATACATATGTTTGATGTTGTGGTAATCACATCAAAATTTGTATAAAATGCAATAATAAAAAAAAGATTGCTCTCTAATTATTTATAATCACTACTGAAAAAGCAGTGTTCGACCTACTTCACTGACTTACATCACCGGCATTGGACAGGCCATCTTTGACCTCACAAACGACACAGAAGATCAGTACAACGATCACATATCCTCTCAACACTGGTGTGATAAGCCAACAACAAAGCTTGCTTGTGATTATTTCCATTGCAGAATGCCTCGTTTCAGTGGAATAAACTTTGAATACGCGTGAAAGAAACATTCAGCTTTGGCAGACAGCTCACACCACAAACTGTATCAGCAGCCCTCATTTTCTTGACTCCAGCAGCACAGCTTGACCCACATTCATGCCACAGTAATTCCAAACTAATAATGAAGAGTTTGTCAGTGCTTTTTTTTTCGCTCTTTATGTCAGTTTGCTGTCATGTTTTTAGGAGCCTGGAGAAATCATATTACATGAAGAAAAGGGACTGAATCTGTCAGGGTCACTGGACCACAAATTCAGATACCCTGGCCATGAATTGTGATGTAACCAGGGCATATTTAAAAATCAAACCATGCACTTATATTTTAAACATCTTTGATGACATCAGGCTCTTATTCCTACATAGGTTGAATGCACTTATTGTAAAGAGTCAGTCAAATGCATGTCATGTAAACAGATGCAATTTATTTTATTCAACAAAGCTAGCTTTAAAGAACAGTTGACCTATATAGCTTATAATGTCCTAATCAGTCTCACAGAAAGCAAAGTCTTCAGCACACACTAGGTTTGAGTACTGAAACCAGAATTATATGGTGGATTATGTAAAAGGGACTCTCTTCTCAGTTGTTACATGTCTGACATGTAACCTTTCTGCTGCTGATCTTGGGTTTGGTTTGGTATCTGAAGTATTAATAGCTGGGTTCTTAAAAATATCTTAATCCCAGATTCACTTTATTCACTAGGTTCAGTAAGAATAAGACCTCCAGCACACAAAAACACACAAAACCAGTGACTTAGAGAAATTAATATGAAAATATATTTATAAAAGGTCTAATGTTCAGTATAATTTCTCTGGTACACTTCCCCTTTTCCTTAACTCTGTGTTCAGTTTCTTAAAACCCCAAAAGAATTCCACTTGACTGAAAAATATCAAGTCAGATATACCATGGGAATAAAATTATAATGTACAACCAAAGAAACACACGTTAATGACAAATAAATGTTGAATAGAAAAAATTCTCAATTCTTGGTGTCATGTGTAAAGTAAAATGAAATAGCCTCTGTTCAACCTAAATTGGTTCAGTTATTAGTTAACAGTCCACAAAGAGGACTACATCAAATGAGTAGACTCTCATCCTCTTATTCTAGTGGATATTATTTCTAAAATTCTCATCTTCAAATGCCACATTTCGCATTGCACAATGAGCTCAACAAACTCACCAGAACTGCAGATCTCTCTCAGTTTATGAGCGAAATTCTACTGTCTCTGAAAGTATCGTCAGACATTGGGATGCGAGCAGGTAAGGTCTCAGTATCATGAAGGACCATTAAGACAGAAGTATTATGATCCATGAAGGTGAACAGATTACCCTGAAATAACATACATGAAACCTCAATGACACACATTGTACTTCATCTGTAAAGGTTTTGTAGGTTACCGCCACTCAAGCGCTTCCTCTTTCGGGTGTAATTCTTTACCTTTCCACTGAGGACCCCTGCTGGTTACCATTTGACATTACAGCATTGCAAAGAACAAGTGTTGTCAACATTAAGAGCAAATAGTGTAAAAATCTCACTAGTTTCCAGTTCCAAATAATCTTTTATTAAATTGTTATTTTAGTATACAGTGGAAAAAAAATCCTGTTTTTGCAACATGACACCATGGTGTCTCAAGGTTTATGCATGAAAGAACAGTCCAACATAGAAAAGACAGTGAGCAGATCACAGTTCTGTAGTGTTAATCTCTCTACTTTTTCCAAAACACGTAAAACCTATTAATATTCTCTGTCTACCAGCTGGAAAGATTTTCAAAGTGCTTTCCAGAGATTGCTGAATATTTTTTAAAGGCCACCATCCATCTGCAAATTTTAACCAAACAGGTTTCAGAGAATTGTTTGAGTAAAGCAAATAAAGAAAAGTGTAATCTAATCAACTGAAACTCAATGCAGTCAGCAGGCTCCCAGTCTTGATGGGTAACAAAAATGCAAAATCCTGGTACAGACTGGCACAGCCTCTGATGAGAGATGGGGTCTAAGGCAAATGCAGTGGTGCACATACAGCATAAAACATGCACACACGATCACAGAGGACAACACAAACTTTTTACCTCTGGGGTCAATTTTTACATCTAATCAATCAAATTAAGTTCTTGTATGACTGCTTTTGTCTGCACACATTTTGCTTGAAAATGAAGTACTTCAATGAAAAGAAAGTGCAACTATTTGTTAAAACTGACATTCAAAAGGGCAAAAAAAACCCCAACCTTAGATGATGTATATAAAACAAATTTTCAAATATTGATGACACTCCCTACTACCAAACTCTTTTTGCTGTACAGATCAATCATTCGTGTAAATAGCTCTATCATTGTAGATGTATTATTTTACAGATTTCCATACACTGTTGTATTAATTAACCCCACCACCCCTGTAACGTGTGTGTCACCATGCACTTTTCCTGGAGGGCTCACACACACACTTTCCCCCCGGTATAAATAAACCATGACGTGTGAGGAGTGTCCCTTCCACAGTGACAAAACAACATGACTGCGCAAGATACTGAAAATATGGCTTCTATCTGTCCCGATACCTTCAGGCAAAAGAAATTGTCGGGTATTGAGAGCCTCGCCTCGGAAACAACCTGTAGCCTGTGTTGTCAGATCCACACCAAACTGGGCGGCCAGTTGGACTTGTTAGACAGGTCTGAGACAGGGCTGTGTGACACAGAGGGGAAGATTGGAGCGAAACAGCGTGTGCAAAATGGAATCAAGGCATGTACTGTTAATGTTGGCCAAACCGAAACCCCCCCGAGAAAAACAACATTTAAAATCTAAATTTGATTATACAGTACATCACTCAGACAAAGCCGGCGTGACCTTAAATGAGAGAACAGGGGTCAACACCTGCATGCTTGTACGTAAGAATTTATATAATGTGTAGCATAGAAAGAAATTAAAATGTGGCACTCAATGGTACTACCAACTGAAATTAGTTTTCTGTGAGTAACCACAGCCTCAGTACGCTGGTCCTATGTATATAAATGAGGTAAGAATACATGTTAAATATCTATCTAAGATTACGTCACCGTGGGAGGGGGAGGAAAACTATTCAAATCTGATTGGGAGCCTTGAGAATTTTCCATTTCCTGTTCTGAGTTGCGTAGGTGACGACACAGGCCTGTGTATGTATATCGGGGTGTGTGTGTGTGTGTGTGTGTCTCTAGACCAGGGACATAGCAATTAGGTCTTCTTTTTCAGCTCCTCAAATCGCCGCGTTAAATCGTCAAAGTCGATGTCATCCGAGGTGCTGGTGTTTCCGCCGAAGGAGGACGTGGGGAGTGTGTCAGGAACAGAGGGGAGTTCTGGGAGAGTGTTGTTGTTGAATAGCTGAGACGAAGGCCCAGGAGCTGGAGAGTAATATATGGTATTTAATTTAATTTATACAGCAGCATTTACAACAGCAAACAAAATAACGGTGGCGAGTTTCCCCACAGTCAGTTGGAAATAACAGCTTTGTGTGTGATGACAAAAATGTAAAACAGCACATAATGCAAAGTCAGAAAGAAGAAATACTCAACAAAACATTTAATTAAATAGAAATGGTCAAATGCTGTTCTTACATGAAAGACCTTGGGGATTAATTTTAATATTTCAAGAATAAATCAAGTGATATCCAATCATTTTCTTAGACTGACAGTATATTCTTCACTGCCACAGAATCACATTGTTGTACAAAAACTATTAAACAACTCTGTGGACTGGGTGACATGTGCCTTTGTTATAATGAACAAAAGGCACTGTAGTTTATTTTGAATAAACACCACGGACACTGTCCTGCTGCAGTAAAAACTCACCAATGCACCAGATCTGCTTCTGAACATAGTTCACTACAAATATGTGACTAACATTAGCTAAAAACAGTGCCCACATCATAAAATAATATATATTATTTAGCTTTTGAAAATGAAACTATGTATCTTTGACCGGTTTTCAGAGACTTCCATCTTCAGAAGGAACGAAAGGGCTTGGGGTTAAGTGCCACAGACAAAGTAGAGAAGTTGGAAAGCACTCAGAGACAGGCTAATGCACTGTTGGTTTTGGTGTTTTAATGGGCTTTGTTGACGATAACAAAAATATAGCATAACCTCAACTACTGGCAGAACTCACCTATGGCCTGGGAAGGAACAGAAGGTTTGTCAGTTAGGTCATCAATCTGAAACACACAGAAAATGTATAATGGATCATGTCTTCAAATTGAAATAAATTAATATTATGTGTGTTAGCACTGAGAAAGAATGAATTATGTTCAACGACAAAGAAGTAAAAACAAAATATAAATAAAAATAAAAGGGAAAACTTCAGGTTTTTTTTTTTTGAGAAACCATCACCTTAGTGTGAGACTTTAGAACTAAGCTAGCCTAAACGCTCTCTAAAATGCACTGAACACTCTCGTCTGTTCATGTCAGTTAGTTGTTACACTATTAGCACTTCATGCTACCTATGTCCATGCAGATGAAGCAGAATCTAGGCCTACTCTAAGAAACATTGTAAAAAAGTAGAGGACAGGCAAAACTGCAAGCAAGCTGAATGAAGTGCTCTTCCCTGAGTGGTGCCCTGTCCTGTCCGTCTGTCCATCTGTGAGAACAGGAAGGGCGCGGGGATGGGAGGGTTCAGTCACTTACAGACTCATATGTGGGGGGAGAAGTGGGCAGCTGAGGGGGCGGCCCTCCACCCATGTGGGGCTGAAAGCTGTTGTAGGTTCCAATGGGAGCATTATACGGTTCCTAGAAGAAAACAACAGTCAGGTACAAGTCTGAACATCTGTAAATGCATATTTCTCTTTTCTGTCAAGCCAAGATAAGTAAGGAAAAGAAAGTACAATTGTTTTGGACCATACATTAAATTTTGGGTGCAACGATCACTGTTAAAACTACATCTTTCTCACTTTGCCACATGGTCATGTCATCACAATAATCCGCAATGGCCCTGACGGACTTCAATAGTTTAAATGAGCCAAAGTGTCAATTTGTCTTCAGAATATAATGTAGACTGGCACCAAGCCTTCCGGTTTTTAAATCACAACTTAAAACACATTTTTATTCCTTGGCTTTTAATCTGGCATGAGAACTGTATGTTGTATTTGTCTGGTGGTGTATTTTGTCTATTTTTTGTTTCATGTCAATGTACAGCACTTTGGTCAACCTGGTTGTTTTAAATGTGCTTTAGAAATAAAGTTTGACTGATGTCCAGTCGGCCGACTCTTCCAGATATTTGGCATGCTAGATATCTGGCAGACGATGTGATGTGTCATTGAGTGGTTCACACAGAACGCCTGGCGACTGCCGACTAATTTACCCCACGATTTATTAAAATCGTGCTAAAAAACATGTAGTGTAAACTAGGCTTTAGTGAGACAATGAGTTGTATTTGCGATTTTGGGTGAACTGTACCTTTAAAGCTAGTCAGAAGAATGGCCAAAACATACATGATCATCTTTGCTGTTGTTAATTATAAATAAGTTTTAAATCCATAAAGTACTGTGTGTTTTAGGATTTAATCATCATCAAGATAATACCGTCCATCCTAAGCATTTTGGCAAAAGGTAACTGCTCTCCATGATGGTTAGTCGATATGACAATGTATTTTATACATGTAACATTGGGACTGAAGCCTTCATCCATGTCATCTACTATTGCACTCTAAGGTTTCCTATAACCAAATGTATAACTCACAACAAAATCATTAAGAAGAATCTTTAAAAGAAATCACTTACGGCTCCGTTGGGGGGTGGATAGTTGAACGCTGTAGGCATAGGCATGGGCATAGGCATAGGCATGGGCATGGCAGGAGCAGTGAAACCTCCACCACCCCCTCCTCCTCCTCCTCCTCTAGGTTTCTTGTCCATGTCCACGTCAATCAGGTCTGCCTCCTCTCCAGGACACACCTCAGGCTGTCCGGAGAAAGAAGTGGATGAGTGGTTAAATAAACAAATTGCATGACATCATCATTCTTAGAGACAGATTTTTTTAAGGCTCACCCGGACCATGGCGTCAGGTTCATACGGCACATTATAGTTCTTGGCGATCTCTATCAGGTAGCGCTCCACCAAGATCTTGGGAGGGGCCTCCACACTCAGTTTGTGCATCAGCTGTAAACAAATCAGAGATGTGATTAGAAGCTGCTAAAAGTTAGGCAAACATGCATTCTTGAACCGACTTGTGGGCAGTCAGTGGAAAAAAATGCCTACCCTATCGTTGACTGTGCCAATCTGGTTTGTCCTGCACAGCTTGCCGTACTCCTTGCTATATTTTGCACATAGCTGGTCAGATACCTGAAAGAGCATTTAAAGATAAGACTGTCAAGACTGTTCTAAATGGGAATAAATAGAAAGAACTTGTTCAATATAGTTGGCAATGCGGCCAACATTATGTTCCATCTAGACAGTACTTACAGTTTTTAATTCAGACACCTCTGACTGTAGACGAGGTGCTGCCCATATGAGGGTGGACACTGCCTCCTGTAAACCTGGGTCCAGTTCCCTAATTGTGGAAAACGAAAAGGGGGTTAACAAGAAAGACCACGTACTAGTATGTTCAATAAAAGTGGTATTGGTACACGTTTGGCTAAGTTACTCACTTCATGGACTGAATGAGGCCAAAGCGAGTCAGCAGCAGGTCACAGTAAAGCTCCAGGATCTCCATGGCTTCCACCAGGTAGTCTTCTCTGATAATGTGCTCCACACGGATCCGTGCCCGTTCATCCTTCCCTGATGACAGGTAATCTGCAATCTCCTTTCTTGCCTTTTGAGCAAGCTCAGCTTCAATTTAAATGTGTGAATTGGAGTGAGAAAGGGAACTGTCATTACTGGGAGAAACAGAAAACATTTGTCTTGCAAGTAGGTCAACTCTACCAGAGTGTGAATTTATCCAGCCCAGGACTTACTTTTCTTTTTCTCAAGGAGTTTGAGTCGGTTGATGACCAGCCGGAGGTTAACTCTTAGCCTCTCTGCTTTGAATCCTCCTCCCAGCATGACTATAGACTATCTGTATCTAACAGGGAGGAGATGAGAGTAGCAGAACCACTCGGGAACATACAACCAAAACCGACCTACAGAGTCCAGCTAACGTCGCCCTCACCTCTCAGCCAGTGAGTCACTGAATCATGTGAGCATGACCAACCCATCACAACAGAATGACTCCGCAGATTTACTCCAAACAAATACCACACACGCGAAAACATTAAATTAGCCTGCTATCGTAAACTGCGTTAGCATTAAACGTTTAACAGTTCAAAACAGTTAGCCTGACGGACAGCTAACGCGGCTACGTAATGTAAAGCCATGCTACTTTAAACCTTACCATCTTATCGATTTTCTTTCTCCTTTTCCCCATCAATTTACTTAACAATACTATTACACCCACATTCAAAAAGCAAATTGTGTCTGCGTTAACCAAACCCGTCAGCTAACTGTTAGCCTCCGCTTTGCTAGCAATAGCAGTCTCCTACGTTAAGTTACCTAGCTCTCGCTCAACGCTAGCTAAAATCAAAATAAACAGATTAAACACTCTCGAATAGTTTGTAGAATTGGACAACATTAAAGCGACAAACATTTGATAAAGCGATACTGACTTACCTGTAAGTATTAGTCAACCGTACACACCAACTTATTTGGGTTTCTGTCTGTCTTCCGTCGCCTGGTTCACTTCCGCAATTATCTTTAGTGACGTCATATGAGTGGGCGGGGTCTACATTCTTCGTGTCAAAAGGAGTCAACCAAAAGTGTGATCCTTATACAGCCTACTGAAATACTGTATTTTGTATTAACACACACAAACACAACTGTTTTATTTCCTTATCTAATGAAATGTATGAAATTAATTGTCCTTATGTACTTTATATATAGCTCTGGCAATTATTGTTAAGGACCTTGAGCACCGCCCGTTTTTTTTCCTGGAGATTATCTGTGTGTGTGTGTGAATACTAATGAAGACCATGGTGTTTAAATCTACCCAGATGCAAATTAAAAAAATGCACTGTGGAATGTTTGGGGTGTGTACGTGCACGTGTATAAATAACTATGTACTGTTTTATTTTTATGTTACCATATTTTAATATAGGCCTACACTTAATATGTTGTGTGTAGCATGAACGAACTACAAAATTCGTTTCGTAATGCAGCCTTGTGCTGTATAATGGCTAATAAACTACCTTGTACTTATATCTCTGTGAACTTATTTTATTTTTTTATTGAAATCTGTTGAGTATGAAATAATTGCGTGTGTGAGGGAATTAAAATAAATTGGTAAGGAGGTCAGAGTTGTGTTAATATATTTATTATTTTGTTTAAAGAAAATGTTTTATGTTTTATATAATGACAACTTGTTCCATTCCTGACCTGTACTAGATTAAGGTCTAAAATCACTTGATTTCAGGTGATCTCAATTCTGTATTTTCGATGTTCAAGTTGTAAGTCATATTTTAAGTTTTGCTAATACACACAAGAGTATCGAAGATTGTTAGCTTGAGACGTCTGTGGTAATGATCTGATTTACGTTTTCTCCTATTACGTGCCAACCTTTTTCCTATACAGTCTATGATCCCAACAAGACAAAACAAATGTGTATGCGAACCCGTTATTGTTTCTTTTAGGATTTTCTAATGAGGAAAATACTTGTGGATCTTCACACAGGCATTGAGCATTCATTTTTAGACAAAGGAAAGTACTCTGATCTTTTCATGTGAATGAATATTATAAAGTTGAAAATGTTGTAGTTATTGCCAAACACAAATCTGGGCACTTGATTTATTTGAATGAAAATGGAAACACTTAACAGGGACTTTCAGATTTAATATATTGCAGCTTTCTCATAAAAAAAGAATCTGTACAATAAAAAGTTGATCTTCCACGACAAACTATCACAGTTATTATAACTTGAGTTTGCTGACAGAAACCTCTTTGCGTTTCTTCTTTGTTGAAGATGGGTCTTTTGCAGTTTTGATCTGGCTTTTGACCTGGTCCTGCAGCTGAGAGAAGAAGGCTTGAGAGGACCGCAGAGCCTTGTCCTTTCCCTCGTCCTGGAACAGAGGAACACTGAATCACCTCAGGAACACACAGTATTATCTAAGAAGTAATGTAATGGTTATTTGGCACTGGTTCAATTGCCTGCTCTAACCAGTTCTTCTTCTTTTGTTGATTCAGTCAGGGGTGGTAGAAGTTCTCAGAAACGTTACTCAAGTAAAAGTACTAATACTTTAAAGTAAAAGTACTCTTTTACAAGTAAAAGTACAAGTACCCCTTACCTCTACCACTTAAGTACAGCACTTACTTTCCACTACTGGATTTAATCTGCCAAGTTTATCATCATCATCATCTAAATAAAATCAACAGTTTGGGATTTGGTCCACTTAACTATTTGGGGCACAGTCAGTGTTCATATCATCAGAGCTGTCTGTCTCTTTTTACTTAAAATGTGTGAACAGGCTAATACCAATTTCCTACTCTGACATGCGTGACAACCACTGGGGCTGAATGCATACTGAACTGAGCAATGAGAGATAGAACATGGGAGAAAACACTCACCTTGAGTATCGTGGCTTTGCCTCCTTTTGTGAGTTTCTTCAGATTTTCTGTGACTTCAGCCTTTGAGGGCTTTTTGTGCTCACCAGTTGTACTGGCCTCTTTAAGTTTCTGCCTCTTTTCCTTCTCCTTGATCTTCAGACGCTTCACCATCTTTTTGTGGCGTCTCTCACGCTTCTTGTCTGTTGACGTCTTCTCAGTATCACCCAGAATATCTCCTGCTTTGCTCTTCTCCTTTGGTTACAGAGGGGTATTATTAGACAACACTGTGTAACTAAATATACCAAGATCTAAATCAATGTTTGAAAAAGGATTGATGACGAACCTTGATTTCTTCTGGTGCGAGCAGCGTAGCATCACTAGCACTGACTGGAGCCACCTCCTCCATTGTAATAGATGGCAAGTTAGACACCACTTTGACCTCAGGAACAGGCTGTGGACAAAGGGCAACATGAATGCGCTCATCAATAACTTCGCTGGCTTGCTAGCATATTACAGTACATTTTTTTCTCAAGGATATGTTCAAATTATCAGTTTACAATTTATTTCATTTTCATGCAACAGCTCTATTTACAGACGTGTTCTGTAAATCTATCTCGCTAACCAGAGTTAGATCAGTAAAAAAAAAAAAACCTGCGCAGATTTTTGCTAAAAAAAGCTTGGGATTTCTGGTGCCAACTTCTACATCTTTCAGAATTTTTCAAAAGGGCAGTCAATCTCAAACTTTCAGTCAAAACTTACTGGTTTTGGTGTGAAGTGGAAGTTGGAGAGAGCATCCAACTTTAGGAAGAGTGTGTCCATAAGCTTTTGAATTTCTACATGGGCTGGGTTCTCCTTCTCCTCCTCCGTCTTTTGCTGAAATAAGAAAGAAATTTAAAAAAATTGGATGCAGCACAGGTTCATATGTGTTGGAGTAGCAGTGTAAATGAGTTAGAAGTCAAACCTGAGTCTGCTTGAGGTATTCTTGCTCATAGATTTCTGCTAGACTCTGCTTGCTCTTCTCATGGTCCAACGTTAACCTCTTCTTGTACTCAAACACGTCCTCTTTGGGTTTTTCTTTGCGGATCACATCATCAAATGCCTTACAGAAACACAAGTCAAAGAAACTGGGTTATAATCAGGTGAACAAAAAACACCATATATTTTTTCAGACAATTATTGTCACTAACCTGATCTTTAATTCTCTGTTTGATGATGTCTTCAAGCTGTAGTGTGGTTTCCTCTGTGATAGCAGGGGCTAAAAGAGCAAAGGTAAAATATTGTTGACTGATTTGAACTAGATCATCATTTTAGTATTCTTTATCAAACAACATAACCCTGGTGAGAATAATGGCAAAACATCTAAATACAAGAACAACACACAGAAGAGGAGACACTCACCCATCCTGGATGCCTGCTCAAACTCCACATCTTCCTCCAGCATGCTGTTCTCTGGACGAGTCTGTGCTGTCACCTCTCCGGACAACTGCCAGGGCTTCGCTGCTAGAGCAGCTTTTTCCAACTCATCGATCTTCTCGGACATCTTCAGGTTAGAACAACAGGACATCGCTATTAGCAGATATTTCAGACCACAATCAGCCCTTCTCTAGGTACCGGTAATCTGATGGTAATTAAATATGTCGGCCTCATGTCTGAAAAAGTGCACTGGTCATTTTGATGTGAAATTCAAGACAGCAATCTTACTAGGTCGAACCATTTTCATATCACTTTCAAAACAGCACAAGTCCGAACTGAATGCTGTCAGATTAACAAAGGCTGCAGCAGCAAGAAGGTAAACATGTAGAGAGAGAAAAATATCTTGCACTGCCCTCCAAGACCAGCGTAATTTATTATCTTAATCATCACCCCTTATGCGTATCAGTTTATTAAACTAGGGAACATTGTGAAAGAGCCAATTTGAAATTCTTGAAATATCAGATCAATCTGTAAAAACAATTCTCCCCTCATTGCGTGACTTGGGCAAAAGAGGTTAAAAAACCCTCAACCAACCACTGTAATAATCTGACAAATACACTTTCGTCATGTTTTCTAACAGCATGTACGCAAACCGGTCATTAAACAAAAGGACCAAATAAACATCCTGTCAATAGCATTTGTGCAGTCAGAGAGTATAAAGAAGGCAACAAAGTTCTTAATGATGTTAAATGATGAAACCGATGTGAAAATGTATCAGTGGATTCACTGTAGGAAGTATCCCTCTCCCTCCTGATGGTCTTTAAATACAGCTTCAATCGCAACATTCATTTCAAAAATCAGCGCAACCTGAAGGAGAACATTCTTCTTCCTTCAGATCACATTTTTACCTCACTGCTCTGTCTTTCTCTCCCTCCCTCTTTCGCTCCTCCCTCTCCTGCACTAGGTGCCAAATCTTGCATGAGCACAAGGCTTCTTCTGTAACTGTAATGTCCGAATGAAGCCGCAAGGAACATTAAAGTACAACTCACCTATGTCTAAATGAAAACAAGACGAGGGCTGTTTTTTTTGTTGTTGTTGGGTTTTTTTTACAGAGAGCTAAGCTTGGTCTGAACTAGGGCTGAAACAATTCATCGATTAAATCGATTACTAAAATGCATTGACGCAAATTCTTTGCATCGAGGCTTCGTTTAATCCATATAACTATATAGCACACTGTTTCGCACGGACATTTATTCGCGCTTGCGCTGTGTGAACACGACATGGTTATCATGGCGCTGTTTGCAAAGTGGAGGGAGAGAGAGAAAATAGCGAGGGACAAAGAAGAAAGTGTCTAAAGTGTGGGATTATTTCAAGCTAAAAGAAAACAGTCATGAGTTAACTGGGTGTCGGGAAGCTGCACCTTAGTACAACTTGTATAGCACTCGGGTGATGTTTCTGTTTGTAATGCAGCTGTCTGGTTGTTGGTCTGATGTTTGCTGTATGACACTCTATGAAGTTTTGAAAGGACCAATAAATATCTATCATCTATCAACTTACACAGCTGATTCCGTTACCGGCGGGGCGCAGTCGGCGCCAAGCAAAAGTACTTCTTAAACGAAGCATCGATGAAATAATCTATAGAAACTTCGAGTACTAAAATCATCGTTAGCTGCAGCCCTAGTCTGAACACAGCCATAGTCACATATGCTGATGAAGCAGCTAAAGCTGCGTATCAAACTTCAAAGCTTATATAAGTGCTGGCAGAAATGTGGCGCACAGACTACCGAAAAAAGTCAATTTGGCATTAAATACCTGGTCAGATTAGTCATCTCCCTTGTACTCACTGATTACATATTCAGCAGTGAAGCATTACTTTTGCATTTTATTTATAGTTCTGGTACACCTGCTTCATTAATGCGTTCGTTAATGCATGATTCAACACAGGCGCATTAGACAAGTTTGGCTTATGTTGTTAAAACAGAAAAGGGGGTTTTGTAATACTTCATATTTCTCAGTGTGAAGAATAAAGTATTGCTGCCTAACAAACTAACAAAAACAAAAACTCACCCACTTATTTTGACATATGTTGCACCACATTTAAGCCACACATACTGGAAAAGAAAATTAGCAAAGCCCTTTTACCTTTTCTTGCCGTTTCTCAAATGACGACTTTGATTCAGACTTAGCCGTTTTTCCTCCAAAAATGTCCTCCATGTCCTCTCCCTCGCTGTCCTCGTCCCCGGAGAAGTTAAAGGTCACTTTCTTACGAGATGGTCTGGAGTCTTCGTCCCTGGAAAAGGTCGACACAAACATGCTGGAATCAACAACACTCAACCAAGCGTTCTTCCCCCACGCATAATTATCTGCATTACATAACTTTAATCACACTTACTCATCGTCACCCTCCTCTTCACCATCATAATCATCTTCCTCGTCATCTATTTCTTCTTCACCTTCTTCCTGGCTTTCATCCTCGCCATCTGACTGGTCATCTGCTTTAGCTGGCTCACTATCCACAGCATCAAAGAAGTCCTTGTACTTGAGATTCCTGGAGCTCTTTACCTGTCAATATAAACAAGAATTTCCTGTATTCTGTACCATGAGGACATAAAGAATAATAAATAGTTGAGAATATGAAATCAAATACATACAGTGTTTTTCTTTTTCTTTTTTGTGGAAATAATTTGATCTAGGTCGAGATTATCGTCCTCATCCGAGGGCAGGTCTTGAAAATAGTCTACGTCGTCTTTGTCCTCATCCTCCTTTCCCTCTCGCTTATCCATATCATCAAGAAACGACTCCATCTCAGACAGTTTGAAGAACTTATCATCAACCTCAGAGGGAACCACCTTTGTTTTGGAGCCTTTCCTACCCATCTCCTTCTTCTGTTTCTCTCGCTTCTCTAGGGCATCCACATCAAAATCTAAATCAGAGTCCTCATCTGTGAATTCCCCATCCTCAGCCTCCACAGCCATTTTCTCAGAGTGTCTGGGCAGTTCTTTTGCGTCTTCTTTTTCATCAGACTCTACTTCTTCCTCATTGCTATCCTCTTCCTCCTCTTCTACCAGCAATGTTAATGTCTCATCTGATAAAGCCTCATCAGCTGCATTTTTAAAGTGTCTCAGTACAGCATTATTCTGCAGCTCCAGCTCCTGCCAGATCTGCTCCTCATCAAAGTTTTCCACCACCAGCTGAGCCAGCGGGCTGCCTTTACATTCTGCAGGCTCCTGAGCTTTGTGGAGGTCATACAGGGTCTTAGTGAGAGAGGTAAAGTCAGCTGCCACATCATCTTGAAGGCTGAAAAGGTGGAAAAACATGATCAATATGGCAAGTCTGGAGTATTTTTTTTTTAATCCCCAAAAGACACCCATAAAGTTGGGTGCAGGTCTGTGGTTTGCAATCTTCAATACTACGGTACGGTTGGTAAAGTACTCAACACAATAATGTAATGTATTACATTCATCTGTGATACACTACCTACTGTTAGCATTAGCCATTGGAGGTATGGAATTAGTTCTTATGAAGTATTATGTCCTTTTCTATTACAATTTTGTATTTGTAAGATTTATTTAAAAGACAATTTCTGGTTGTTTTTTTCCCCCAGGGGCAAATGGTTCATTGCAGAGTTGGCCACCTCACCTGAAATTAAGAAGATATCTGCAAACATCATAAAAAATGAATATACATAACAATAAAATTCAAGATAAAAGGAGTTGCAAAAAAGGAGTTTAATGAGTATGTGGAAACCTTTGTCTTCTAATTATATTACATTATCAAGAGATGAGATGCTCAACAAACTTTCTGGCTAAAACCCTAACTTAACACAGGCCGACCAGATATGAGTATATATCAGTGCATCTTTCATTATTTTGGACATTTTAACCCCCAAAACTATTTTGCTTTCTGACAGTTCTGTATTTTTACTAGGGGTTTAAATCTATTTGAGTTCAGGAACTTATCCATTTTGCACTGTGTACTAAAGAGCCCCATCCAGCATTACACTAATTAAATCTGAGTTACCTATAAGGGTTTTCTGACACTAGATAAACTTCAATAGAGCAGTGGATAAATAAAGAACTTAACTCAGGTCCTGCACCTTCAAAACGCATTTTGCCATGTAAGTGCGGCTTCTCTTTGGTTACCGTTACATTTTGATGTATCACAGCAGCTGGTTGTCTTGCAATATATAATGTATCACAATCTCATTGTCCTTATTACGTGCAGTTTTTGATGGTATTGTGGAACAGATGCATGCTCCTGGTAATGAACACATGGGATAACTGGGTTCCGTTTAAAGACATGTAGTAGCCTACTATTACATTGACAGAATAGTTACTGCAAAACAGCGACTTGGTAAAAAAAAAAAAAAACATCCTCCCAAACTATCCTTAAAGTAACCAACAGGCTGACAGATAGCTGCCCAAACACGATGCTAACGCTTGATGCAGTTTTAGCTTTAGCTAACGGTGAGCTAGTTGAACCTTTTCTCTTTTTCTGTTGCGTCAACGACGCTGCAACAACATTAAACAGATTTTTTAACAGCGCACCCGTACAGACAGCAAATACTTGCCTCAGAAAATTCTCTGGCTGTGCGGTGTTGGCATTTATTTTCTTCACACACTCCTCCAGCACGCTCCACACATCTCCACTAGCCATGGTTGTCCCCCACATGCCTGACCGTCTGGTGTCGCAGGTAAACAGACTCACCGAGAAACTCTTCCGCCCGCCGCCGTTTTGGTTCCGAGACACAAACATGGCGTCCGCCGTGCTGAAGGTTGCAGGTTTGTTTGTGTCAATAATTTTCGAAATAACGAAGTCATGCTTTTCTGTGCTGTGTTCTGTAATCGCAAATATCAGTATGATTGTTCTCTGATTTACTGAAGAACATTAGCTGCGTTACACTAACTTACTATCATGACATCATCATGGGCTAGTCTTGTTCTTGTTGCAGCGTTTGGGTAACTAAGACTGGATTTCCTTTATCTTAAGGCATGCAAAGATTTTTCTGTATATAGTTAAATGCATTTCTGTCTTGATCACAGTCCAGTAAAGTCTTATATTCACCAATGTACAGATGTTTTCTTCAACTCAGATGTGAAATGACTCAACTTATCTCATGGAGACCCAGAAACAGACATTTTTATGAATGCCATACCTGCTTTTCCATAATGGAGTATGTGTGTTGTAACCTGCTGTGTGTGTATCAGTCATTAAACTCAAACCATGCAGCCAAACATTGTTCAAACCCACAGACCTCTATTTTAAAATGTAGTGGAGATTCAAAAGTCCCCTAAGCCACTTTTCGGCCAAAAGTAACAAAAGTACCATAAGATACCAAAATCTTTGAACCTGAATTTGGTGGAAAGTGTGATACGCGATGTAAATTACATCTAAAATATTTCTAGTCATTCATTTGATGAACATATTGTGGAATAAGAAGATTTTTTCAACCTTGAAGCTACTTGACGAGAAAACAGCACATAAAAACGTTTAGGACTAAAGTTCCAACAAAACAGCTTCAGCTAATCTCATTATATTTCAATCTATTTATTCAGTGGCAGGCCTTTCCAGATGTTCTCCTCTCACACTCCTGAGGGCACATTCAACGACAGCACCCCTCCATCAGGGTGTTCCAGAATCGCTGTGGAAGCTGGGGAGGCTGAACCACATTGCCATTGCTGTCCCTGACATGGGGAAGGCCACAGTTCTGTATCGGGACGTGCTGGGGGCCACAGTGAGTGACATGGTGCCCCTGCCCGAGCACGGCGTCTACACTGTGTTTGTGGAGCTTGGCAACACTAAACTGGAGCTGCTCCATCCCCTGGGGGAGAAGAGCCCGATCGCTGGCTTCTTACAGAAGAATAAATCTGGAGGGATGCACCACATTTGTATTGAGGTGAGACAGCATTAATAGCATGCCATAGGGATTACACCCAGTAGACGCTTTTTAGGTACACCAAGTCATTATTTTGTATGACCCACTTTAACCCCCAGATAAGCTTGGAACAGAACTTTCTCACAGCAAACATTGTTATTTGACATAGCTGAATTTGCACAGGTGTAACTAATGACAGTATTATGTGTGGTAGTAAGCCAGCATACACCATAGGCTTTTTCGAAGCAGACATTTTGACCTGTCATTCTTGGAAAAGCAAAGGTGTTACATTATTGATGGCTCTGTTCTAGTTAAGTATCCCCCAGTAAGCTGAGACAGAGTGAGCCAGCATGCACAATACGGTACCAGAACCTAACTGAAGCAGCTAAATAGAATTCAGCCACCATTCATTTTATTATTTACACCAGTGCTTTTCCTATTGTGACATGTCAGTATGAATTTTGTCTGATGAAAGTCTGAGGAAACAAAACCTGTTGTGTTGATACACTGAGTTCAAGTGATGGACAGTGTGCGGGATTTTTGGTTGGCTTTTTAAGCCATGAGTTTTTGATGTCACTAAGACTTTATGGTGCGCAAGAATTTTTTGAAATGACTACTGTGAAAATGTCTTTTGTGAACACGGCCAACCCCAGAGCCCTGATGACACCTGCGTGGAATGCATCCATTATTCATTCATTATTCATTACACCTGTGTTTGATAAGTCAAAATGTTGGCCATGGTCTAATGTTAACGTTAAATGGCGTATTTGTGCAAAAAAACATCCTTTCCATTACATCCTAGAGGTGCTCCTTTGGGTCTGGAGCCTGAATTCCAGCTTTTACTAGTGATGTGCGATACCACTTAATTCCTATAGGATCCAATACCAAGTCAGGCTGGTATTGCTGATACCAATACCAATACTTTTTACATATTTTATTTCTATTTTAATGTGACCTCCCCCCTCCCGTTTCTGTATTTATGAGAGAAATAAGGAGTAGGCTGTAGCCTTACCAATTCAAAATAATAGCTGCATAATGACAAGACATCAAACTACTGTCAAATTCTTATTCTTAATAAATTATAATAAAAATATCCTGCTCAGAACTGCCGCTTCATAACAGCATCTTATTATTGTGACAGACTTAATCTCAGATGTTTAGCGAAGTTTGCGGTGTTGCCGAAGTTTTTCACTGTCTTTGCACACACATCACACAGAGCAACATTATTACCTTTACAGCTAAAATTCAGCCAGACCTGGCTGTTTTTACAGTCAGCCAGAGTCAGTATTCAATCGCGGGAAATGTAAAGAGCTGCAGCGGCTCACTTCAAAGAAGGTCCGTAGCGCAAGCATGACTTTGACAAGCGGAACGAAAAGTAGTTCCTATCAACAGAGTATAATTAGACCATCCTGGTGACAGTAAGATACTTATAACAAAACACACACTCACTCCAAATGACTGAGTTTAGATATCTATCCTTTTATATGAGTATCGATCCTAGAGCAGGAAACGTTGGTTTCAGAAATATCGGTACTGTAGGTTCGATCCGCACATCACTAGCTTTTACCTCTTAGTAGAAGACTTACGGTCTTTTACATTTACATTACATACGTACATTACAGAGATGTATACTGTTATATTACATGGGTTGTCCACCAGAGCGCACTGGTAAGTTGTTTTGGGGAACAACGAAGTGTCCCATTCAGTATTACATGTGTAAAACAAATGTAAACATTTTTGGTTTTATGTGTTTATGTCAAAACTCTAGTAATAGTCAGTCTGTAATTTGTTCCATGTCAGTTAAACACAGTCTATTTTTGCATTTCATACTTGTGCATTTAAAGATGATCAGTACAATAGTGTGTGTCAGACTAACCGAAGTTAGACGAATAATTCCTCTTGGTTGCAGGTAGACGACATTAACGCTGCAATAGCTGACCTGAAAGCAAAGAACATCAGAACGCTGTCAGCAGAGCCCCGGATAGGAGCTCACGGGAAACCAGTGATGTTCCTTCATCCTAAAGACTGTGATGGTGTGCTGGTGGAGCTTGAAGAAGCGTGAACACCTCAGTCAGACAGGGATTGTGGGAGCTGTTAATTCCCTTTAATATGTTCCACAGTTGGTTTTGATAATCGCAATGAGAACAAATATTGATTTTGTAATATTGTTCTTAATAGCACTTACGTTTTGATCTTCTCATTTCAAAAGGTGCCTCAAAGTTGTCTTCCAGTCCTGTTTCAGTGCTGTTCCTGATTTTTCTGTTTTGTTGGGAATAGATTATGTGGTGTGGTGTGTTTTGGCAGTTTGTTTAATTTCAGTAAATGTTCAGTGAATGTCCATTTGCATTTGAGTCAGCAGCTATCCTAATGTTAGTAGAATTACTATTTTTTAACCATAACATGACATGTGATCCAGTTTATTTGCACATGGTCTACAACTCCTAAAGTTTTAATTTCACTATATACATAGAGATGGAGACTCCAAAATGAAGAGAAAAATATGACATTTTTGGATATTAATGCATTTTTAACAGGTACAGGCCAAGTTTCCAAATTGGATGGCATACTTTCTCACACAGACAAAGGAATAAAATATTAAAATCCAAATAGGAAACATACTTAAGTTCAGAGCATGTTAAGGACTGTAGTTGCCCAAAATTCCAGTATTTGTGTGTAATGCAGGACATCCACTCAGAGTCTATAATTCTTGGCACGCAGCATATAAAAACTTGTCCAACACTTATTTTTTTATTAGTGGCATTTGTTATTAGATCACCACCCCAGGAAAGGACACTAGTAGAACAACATATACCAACAGCCTGTATCAATAAACAATTGTGATTATAAAACAAAGGGAACTCATGGTGGTGCAGGTGTACTTTCAAACATTTCCTGTAAAACATTTGTTTCCGAGCTGGAAGTCCCCCGATTACTTGGCTTTAATAAGCCCTATAGATGGTCCAAAAAATTCAACAATTCAACATAAATAACTTGAGAAATGAGATTTTAACAGTGTATGACATACTCCGACACAGAGCGTAGACCCGTGGCACTTGTTTTGAGACATGAACAGCAGATGATCATAATTAGTTTCACACAAAGCTGTTTACATTGTATCTCTGGTGTGTATTTTCTAGAGTCTGCAGGCTCTGAGGAAAACGGTAATTATGTTCCTCACTCTGATAAACATTGTGATTATTTTCTTGACTGCCAATCTTTGGAGTCTCCTTCAACTACCAACACTTAGCCCCCATTAGTTCATTAATACATTTGCAATAGCCAGATCTCCAGGAACGTTTAACTTGCAAAGACAGAAAAACAGATCCTACAATAAAGGTTTAGAGGGGTTCTACCATTTCTGTCTATTATTGGGACTTTGAGCGCACAGTTCCGTTTTCTCTGGTAATGGAAGTGAAACCACTCAATACTATAATTACCTTTTTTTGTCAGTGGGGGTGTTATGCCATTTTTCCAGATGTGAAGCTCAATTAAACCATTCAAATGGTGCATTGGTTTCAACATTTGGTCAACACTAAAAACACACCAAAAAACAAACAAACAAAAAAAAAAAAAACACAACTGATCAGAATCCAGGGGGTTTGTTTTATTTGGTTTCATTAACAGCTCCTGACAAAGCACAGCAAATACATAGTAATGACACAGGCATAGCTGACAGCAGAGCAGTGCAAGATACAAGAGTGGGCTTTGAATGTACCACCTCACAGCTCTGGGGACGGGGGAACTAATGGAACGGAAATGGTAAAAATCGATCGAGTAACATAAGATGTTTAAATGACTAGCCAGTATCATGCAGATTGCTTCATATTTTGAAAACAAAGCAAGATACAAATATATATAGAAAGCGTTTGCAAATGTGATCTGGATGGATTTAGCTGCTTTCTTTGCCCAGGGTATGCTTGTCAAACAGGTACTCGGCCAGGCCATTCTGAGGAGCTCCCATGCGGCGCAGGTTGGTTACCCAGTCTGACAGCTCTTTGATGGATTTCACCTGCTCGTCCAGGTAGTGTGTCTCAATGAAGTCACACAGCTGGAAGAAAGACAATTAAACAGCATTAGAGCTGACACACACACACACCCCGAAAGACACTCGTGATGATTCTATTCTGACGAGATTATCAATGTTAGTGTTGTTTTGCAGCCTTCAGTGAGTTATAGCTTTGTCAAATCCACTGGTTTCAAAAGAAACGGAATATTGATCTGCTGCATAGTACATTTGATTCAAATGTTTTTATATCTTGCAAAAAACTGAAAAGGAAATGTGCAGAATTTGCAGCTCATTGCAATGATCTCTCAAGTCCAGATGTACAACCAATGTGTACGTTTTAAATGCTTCAGTATTTTTAAAATTCTGTAACTGGCTTATATTACAGGCATGCAAGGGGTGGTACCTAGATTACTTGATGGATGCTTGACACTTATTTCAATTTTGAGAATTTGGGATAGGTGTCCTCTTAAACTAAAATGTGACATGGATGGAGAAACTATTTCACGGCGCTCTGCTGTGCAGTGGTCAAGCAATGATTTAATACTCACATGTGGGTCATTGTGATCAGAGCTGACTTTGTGCAAGTCCAGCAGGGACTGGTTCACAGTCTTCTCGAGCTGCAGGGCGCATTCAAGGGCCTCGATACCACTGCCCCACTCATCCCTCTCTGGCTTCTGCAATTCAAAAAAAAAAAAAAAAAAAAAAAAAACACACCCCACACACACAGGTCAGGGGAACAGCGAGATAGTTAATGACAGGTAAGATGCCAACGACCTGACCCAGACGGCGAGCTTTCTGATTAGTAGCTTGCGGTTTAACGTTAAAACGGTGTTGTGTTTGTGTGTAAGTGAAAGATAAGTGGCACAGTACACTCACGCCCTCGGTATCTTTACGTTGCCCTCCCAACATGGGCCGTAAGATAGCCCAGAACAAGAAATCTCACACCCAAGTTAAAAACACAAAAAACAAAAAAACTCATACCTTGACATCTTGTAGGAAGATCCTTCCTCCCCTCTGGTTCTGCAGTTTCATTAGTTTCTCAGCGTGCTCACGCTCCTCGTGTGACTGACTACGGAAGAACTTGGCAAAGTTGTGCAATGCCTGGTCATCCCGGTCAAAGTAGTATGACTGTGGAGGAAAGAGAGGAATGCTGGTGTTATCAAAACTATCCATTTCCTTAATGTGAAAAAGCAAGTTGAAAAAAGTAATTAAAATGTCGTATAATGAAAGCCCATAGAGGGATGGCAAAACTTTCATAAACATCTAAAAAATATTTAATTATTTATATTTAATATAAACCTGCTAATATTTAAAAAGTAAGTTTAACAAACATAAAGGTATATAAACTGTTTTATTTACACAGCTGTGTGTGCGATGAATGGGTGAACGCTGTGCTTAGGGCGAAGTGTTTTAAGGGCAGGCGATGTACTCTCTGCCCTTTCTCTGTATATAATCTCAAAAGGAACTTCAACCTTTGTTTTACAGCTTGACCACACAATAGTCTTTTCACCTCAAACACGTGATATCAAAATGACACCTGAAAACTCGCTCACATGTTTATTAATGTTTAATGAAAATGGAAGCTCTGACTGTGGCTATTATTTATTAAAAGGCGGTGTGCTGCCGAATGGCCCTAATCCAAACTTCCCACATGCTTTTTCATCCATCTGAAAGATGTCGGCACACTGGGCACACTTGGGAGGATACACACCATATAAGCCTACTAAGCACAACAGTTACATAACCACAATACAGACTAATTTAAATAATTACTTCTCAATAATAACAGTTAATATGACAACTGTTCCTCTTACGCTAATCACTTCTATCTGTATTATCAGCAGTTCTACTCTGGGTTTCCCAGTCATCGCTATTTTATTGTCTGAACACTTTTCTCTATCCACCTATTGGACTCACCATAGACAGGTAGACGTAGGAGGCATACAGCTCCATGTTGATCTGCCTGTTAATTGCAGCCTCGCAATCTTGGTGGAAGTTCTGTCTCACCTGGGAACTCATGGTTCTGAAACACAGCACACAAAAGTCTTACTGGACAAACAAACATGTCTCAATATAATCCAACTCATGTGTGTGTTTAACATAAAACATGACTGAGATAAGTCTATACAGTTAAAACTAGAGTAAGAGTTATTTATCAAGAAATACTGAAAAAAATTGCACGCAAAACCTAATTATTACTCTGTATCACTGGGTTTGGCACAGCGACCTTTTGTTATGTAATGCTAATTCTTGTGAACGAAGTAAAAGCTAACAAAGGACAAAATCAATTTAACTTTACAGCTGGGTTGTTTTACCATTATAATGTTAAGTTGACGTTACCGCCTCGTCAAACATCGCATTAAAACGACTGCTAAAATATACAAAAGTTAAATCGAAGTAATGTTTTGTTTGTCTGAAGTAATGTTTTGTTTGTCTGAACCAATGTTGTTGCGTGGCATACCTGGCACTGGAGACGCAGAGGTTAGAGAGCCAACTGCGCGAAGGCCACACTGCCGTCGGAACAACAAGCACCTTTGCTACTAGAGGTTTTACTCATTAAGCTAGTTAGTCGTCGGTGTAACGTTAGATACATCACCGACAAGCAAAAGGTACTCGTGAGAAGCTTAGAGATTAATTCTTACCAAATCTCAGTGAAGGATCTTCTTCTGAGGGCGTCGAGGAGCTTTGAGTGGATTGCGTTGGTTAGCAAAACAGTTAGCTGGCAAGCTAAATGTTTGTTAGGATACCTTAGCTAAACGTTCGCTGCTGTTTTAAAGTAATGAAAGGCTGAAGTTATCGATGGTAGTCTGAGTGATGAAAGCGATTATTCTCGTCGTGTGTGGGAATTGAAGACAGCTGAAAGGTTGCCGTTCAAGCACTGTTGAAGCAGGTAACCTTCACCGTCCGTTGAAGAAAGGAGAACTGTGCGTTTCTGCCTGAACCCCGACAGATAAACAGATGGTGTGGACCGTTACGTCAATGACCGGAATAGGGCGGGGCCTTAGAGGGAGGGACATGTTACTATTATTTTTTTGTCGTTTCTATAAACTTTATCGCTTCTATACAACATACAGCCAAACAGTATAGGTACAAAATGGAGAGAAAGAATGGGGAATGTAAAAATAACAAAAAAAGGAAAAGAAAAAAAGCTGGGGTTATAAATCGAAAGCGCACAGTTTCTTGTTTTGGTGAATATATAATTAAATTTTTCTTAAGTGTGTTACAGTGTATATTGGTTTGGCATTAGTAAGTTTACATTTCTGGATATAATACTTTGCAAAAATGATTTAAAGATTAATTAAACAGTGTCTTTACGATGATATTCATGATGTGTAAAACCAAAAATGTTTATACAGTACTCCAAAATATCCACAGTAAATATTATCAATTACAAATCTACATGCATCTTTCCACAGTTTCTTGGTGTAAGTACAATGCCAGAATAAATGGGCTATAGTTTCTTCATGAAGATCACAGAGGGAGCACATACTGTCAATATCTTTTTCTTCACAAGAAAGGATTTTACATGGTAGAAACGACACAAAATCTTAAATGAAATTTCCCTGACTTTATTCATCAACATATATTTGCATGAAAGAGTCCACACTTCCTTCCAGCATATATCTTGAACATAAAAGTTCCAGAAAGCATAAGCAGTTGGCACTGCTGGAAAGTTCTTTTGAAACAAAGTGTGAATATTTTTATTGCTTTTGGAGACCGTACAGTTAAAACAAAATTTGTCCTATCAAAGTTTCTGCAGGCTCAAGAGAGGAGGGAGGGATGTGTTCTCTTTATACATCTCTTACCCATGACATGTAGGTCAAGGAACTTCGTGGAGGCTTTACCCTGAGCTTCTTCTTACAATGGCATATTGTTGCCGTCAACTGTTTGTTTTCAGTTCCAGTTATTTTTTAAACACAGTCCAATACTGTGCAAATATTCCATCAGTTACTTCATTTTGGTCCAGTTATCCAGACTGAGTAAAGTGTGGAAAGTAAAAAAAAGTGTCTTCAGCTGTTCCCAGGTCTTTGAACAGCTTTCCTCTTTGAAGTGAGTAATTCTTAAAGTGGATGAGGATGTGCCTTTACTGTCTCTGAGCCTCCACACTCAACATTTGTCATCCGGGTGTTTCCCAATCAGAGCCAGCCCACTCCTGAACCCACAATACCCTAACTTCAACTTAATTATGACCTATTTACTTAGTAGGTAAAATTGAGGAAATTTTCCTTTTGCTTTTTCTACTATTTTCTGTAATGTAAACTAACCTTTTGTATCAAAATATCACGTATTTAGTTTTTGTCTATGGATAATTTGAAGGCCCAATCATGGTTCCACTCAACCACCTAACCCAGAGTGCTTTGAATGTGGGCGAAAACATAGGTCAGGCACCACCATCCGCAAATGATAAATACCAAATTCTTTTCCCACTCTACTAAATATTCCATTGACTAAAACATTATAAATAACAGGGCTAATAACACTCCCCAGAGAGGTTGCATTCTCCACCTCAAATTGCTCAGATAACTCACTTCCAACCCTCACCTGTACTGACCTATTATATAAAAAGTTCTTAATCCAGATTCTTCCTCATCATATAGTGCGATCAATAACCCTTCCTTCCATAGCATGTTGTACACTTTTTCAAGAAAGACTATCCTACTGCTTCTACTAGCTTTCTTGATATCAATGTGCTCAATATGAATAAAGCTGCTGTTCCATTCAGGTATTTATTTTAGTCAGGCTTTTGTGTACTTGGATATTTTTCTTCTGTGCTACTTTACGTGGTCTTCACCACACTTCATCAGAATCAGAATCAAAAGGAGCTTTATTGCCCAGTTGTGTTTTACACAAATAAGGAATTTGCTTTGGTGGTAAGGTGCTACACGTCGACAAACATACAGTTGACATAAATAAATGTAGAAATATATAAATAAGGAATAGACAAATGCAAGTTATACAAGAATAATAAAAGAATAGAGAAAAATAATACAACTATTTGCAGAGAAAGAACAATGTGGCAGATATTTACATGTGCATTACTCCGGTTTGTGTTGTGCAGACGTACTGCAACGGAAGACAATATTGTGTACATAAATCAGACATAAATATATAAACTGACAAAATATTAAAATACTGAACAACAGCAATTAACAGTTAACAACAAATAGGTGCGATGTGCCAGGTTTGTGCATGATACGATATTATATTGCTCTATATTTCCGGAAAATGTATCATACTTTGGACTCTACAAGATTTATTTACCAGCTAAAACAGATAATTATCAATTTAACTATACCACAGTATATGAAGCAGCTAAATCAGGTCCATTTTGTCCAGCTATGACATTAACATGCTGCTTACATTCTAATGATCTAATCAATTAAAATAGGCTAACACACCGATAGCAGCCTTATCTTTCATTAACCACCCATTAGAAAAATATTACATGATAAAGAAACACAAGAAGTTTAATATACAAAAGGTTTCACATAAGTAACAACTAGAATTTGAAAATATTGCAGTGCCCCACTCCCATGATGGATAAACTAGCTCACTTGTTTTGGCAGGATATTTGGGATTAGAGGCATTAGAGTGTCAGAAAGGGATCATGTTCATTTATATAGCCCAAAATCAAGTTTATACCACAGCAATCTCTATAGCATACAACACCGTCCATCCTCAGACCTTCAACTCGATAAAACTCACATAAAGCTATTGTCTACTGACTCAGCTTTAAACATATGACATGACTCAGCTCTGTGTTTTTTTCAGTGACAGCATTAGCAAACCTAAAAAGTTGGGGATTAAGTAACAAGTAATAAATCACACAACAGGACATGACTAATTGGCATATTGAGACGCACTGTATTAGTTACCATGATAAAAGTTCACTGTTCACTGTGTGGCAGTTGGTTTATGGTAGTTTTATTAATTGTAATTTTGTTATATCCTTAAACTAAGCATTACATCAACTGACATAAAAAGGGCTTTTAGATGGCTCCCGCTTTATTACCTGATTTTAGGCCCTGTCTTAGCATTTGAGCAAGAGTGTGGGTTTAGGATTCAGAGATATATTTGACTATATCGGTAAGAAAAAACAGGTCTTTCTCTGCTTTCAACAGGTTGCAGTACCATCTGTAAGGACATAATTGGGTTTACAGCCTGTCAGTGTTAGCTTAGAAGCAAGGATTTGTATACAGTGTGTTGATTAAAAGCATGCCTAAGAGGTGCAAGTGCTGTTCTACAACAAAAATAAATGTAACCTATCTTAGATTGTTGGATTAGAGCATTATCTTGCATGGTAATGAGTAAGAGTATACAATTAAGTGCGATTTTAGTAATACATAAATAATAGTAGTTACAGTTACAGTGGAAGAAAACACCCTGCACATGGACCACAAGTGTAAAATATGGTAAAAGTTCTGTGTTGCTATGATGATCCAAGCAACATGTGCACATGACGTTTGAGGCAAAATGGTGACCTCAGCAAATCTTAGTCAATTCATTTCAATTCAAATTAGCTTTATTGACATGAAAGTGTAACAACAATATTGCCAAAGCATCATACAAACTACATAACAACAATCAACCCCATGCATTTCATTAAACAAGAATTTAAAGTGTAAAGTAATCAAAGCGTATGTGTGTTTGTGTTAAAAAATATATTAAAAATAAAATAAATAAATAAAACAGTAAGCCTGTGTGTTAAAAAAATATATATATATTAAATAAAACAGTAAGCCTAATATATATATATATAATAAAAAATTAAATAAAACAGTAAGCCTGTGTGTGTTAATATATATATATATAATAAAATAATTAAATAAAACAGTAAGCGTGTGTCTCTATGACTGAAGGCTTGACTTTGCTCTTCATCAATTTCATTTAGGCTATTTGTTGGTTATGATTAGTGGCTTGAATGTTCTGATTAGTTGGGACAGCAGTTTCGTAATGAGCCCTCATGTTTGTCCACTTCAGCATTCTTAGTTTTTCACAGCAAAACTTAAGTCTGCTTATATTGTATAATATAATCCATTAGACATCCTGAAAAAGCGTATGCCTATAGGCTAATACATCTTCATTTTATAAAGCTAATAAGATACTTGCAAGTTAAATGGAAGTAGGTACATAAAAGGCTTACCCTGGGACTAAAATGGTTGTAGTGTCGACAACCTTTATGAGTATTTGTCTTAACAGGATAAGTTGCCACGACCCGCTACATCTCATTTTACTACAGATGCATGAAGTTTCGATTTTTCCTTATGGAAACGCTCACCGGCAGAGCAATTTCGCTCGCAGGGCGTTAATAATGAAACCTATTATTTCCTCTCCATAAATCATCACTGTTGTCTGTAGTTCGAAGAGAGTTTGTTTGTTTGCAGCGTAGCTGACGTCATTTATCACGAGCTCACTGTGGCGGACGTAGAAAGGACTACGTGCAGCTGTAAGCGTGCCACCTGCACCTGTGGGCCGGTGTATTCAAACTATAGCAGTAAATATTGCAGGTGACATAACCACTCTGGTGTATGGAGTAACGTCTACCCCTCATGGACAATTCTAAATGTTTTGAACAATGCCCGACATGAAGGGCCTCAGGTGTCGAAGTCTCCTTTACTCTTGTGTACGGCGCAAAATTCAACAGCGCCATCTGCTGATCGCTGGGCTCCATTACATGATTCAATAACTGGCTGCATGCTCTAAAAGTCCAATTAATTGGGAATTTTAAGATAATCGAGATCAGTGGATGATTGCACTCAAAAGGAAGATTAACAAAAAAATGTCTGCGTTCCCTCTTGTGAGTTGTGGGAAGGTAGTGAAAAAGTTTGGTTTGAGCCATGAATTTCCTCAGTCACCATCTTTTCTGAAGTTAACATGTTTCATCGATCCTAAATTACAGTAGAGCTGATCTAAAACCATACCGTTAAATATATCTTATGCTGTAGAGAATAATGCAGCTGAATAAAGTCACTTCTGAATAACTGTATCCACTCTCTCCGTTGAATACCAATCAAGTTCTAAAATAAACAGAAAACCCAATGTATTTTTCTATTTCATTAATTAAAAAAAATTTCATCTAGAACACGTTGCAGGCTAAGATAACAATGTATATTAGAAGGAATAATGAAATTATACATGACTTTCCTAGCCTTCAGACCACTAAATACCAATAAAACTTTCATTCTGTAGTGAAAGAAATTTAATTAGTTCAGATTTTTTTATAAACTTTATTCATCCTTTGAAAAGATTTAGTCGAACAGGCCGAATCCCATGTCGTCATCGGACTCCTCAGACTCCTCTTTCTTTTCTTCCTTCTTCTCCTCAGCAGCTACAAAACAGAAAGCGCTTGGTATCATTTCCTGCTATAATCAACATAAATTTAACACATTTAACAAAAAGCTGTTCTTACGAGGTCACTAATCTAGAGATAGTTGTCTACAAATTTTATTACTGAGTTACTGTACTCTATTACAAATGTAAGGTTTCTCGAAAATGACCCTAGCATAACTGTCCCATAAATGAAAAAAATAAATAAATCTATAACATATTACATTACTACATGACTTGTACAGTCCATGTACATCCTGTCAGGTTTAAATTACATAGATTTCTAACACTGAATTCTATGAACCTAATGGTCACTAACTGACTTGGCTGCATGTAATCACATAACCATACAAGGTGAAGGTAAAAGCACCGGCTGCCAAGTGTCATTGATGCTGACAAACAAGGTGCTAAGCTGCGATGCTCACCTGCAGCAGGGGCTGCGGCTCCGCCTGAGCCAGCAGCTGCAGAGCTGGCAACGGCTACAGCGCCGCCTGCTGGCACGCTGGCCAGCTTACCGTAACCTGAGGAGACACGAGTTGGCAGACATAAAGCACAACTGATAACATCGACACTCAGCGGCCAGAAACAAAATAGAGGTCAGGCACAGTATGTTGTTATATAATCTGGTAATTTTGGCTGTATAGTAATACTCATTGACCATTAGCATCACACTCCAAGTTTAGTAGATATAATAAGAAAGCAAATATATTAATATTCATGTCATTGTACTAAGTATACTAAGATAGTCAAAATTTGTGATTTGATTCTGTATAAGCCTGGTTTCAACAATAAATAAAATCCACATTTTCTCACTAAGTCAAACATTTTGAATAACTCGATCACTATTTGAAAAACACTTTACAACAACTTCACATGTTGACTCTTAGGCCTATTTTTTGAAGTAGGCAGTGAAACCATTATTGACGAGTCCAGCTTTCACAGCTCAGTTGCTCATATTTTGTGAATGTTTTTTAATTACTTTTTAAATTTTCTCGTTCTATGTGCCAAGAGAATTAGTCCCAACTCTTGCACTTTAAGGAAATGAGAGGCAACTCTGTGTTCATCCGTGTCACGATGTGTTTTGATAAATTCAGAGGGTGCAAAACGGACTAAAATCCTGCCTGGCGCACCTTTAATAGCCAGTGACTACCAGACCTGACAATTTCAGCAGAACCACAAAACAAATCTAAACATCTAAATTCACCAGTACACAAAGAACAAACACTAAATGGCATGTTGGCACTCTCACCTGTAGCGATGACCTCATCCACATTCTTGCCATTGAGCTCAGTGATGACCTGTTGAGAGAGATCAAATTAGTGAATATCACAAAGGCAATAACTAGCCGCTGGTGGGACAACTGCTGCCACAACACTAGAAACACGATAAAGAGCAGACTGCTCTGTACCTTGTCCAAACGTGTGTCGTCGGCTTCAATGCCAACACTCTCCAGGATCTTCTTGATGTCCTTGGCCTCTGGGTTGGCATTGCCAGCAAGGGCAGCGAGCAGGTAAGCAGCAACGTAACGCATCCTGTAAAAAGAACAACCAGGAAGGATTAACTGTGAGCAGATGACCAGAAACAAAAATACAAGTACATGTTCAGACACCTTTTAACTATTTTTTCTTTATTTTCTAAATAAAAATAATCATATTTAATAGGGCTGCCCCAGATAAGAAGAGTCTTAATTTACAAAGATTTCACTGGTTAGTTGCAGAAAAACTAACATCGAACTCCACTCAGGAGCTGTGCCTTGTTGTTAGGGCCAGTAAAAAAGTTATCAGGGGACTGCTGCAGCACGCACCTTTTCTTTTGTAACTGAAGTAATTTAACAGCACACTGCTTGTTGGCATTATGGACGTGGATCTTATCTTATTAAACATCCATGACCAGTATTCAGACTCCGGGGACAACGAAGGTACAGCGGGTTTAGGAATGGGAAAGGAGAGGAGTCAAGAGACAGAGGTCCCGTGTTTTGAATGAGACTTTTGGACGTTAGACTGTGTTCAAACTTCAACAAAATGTTTTTTCTCCTTACGGGTTGCTCTGACACATTCAGAATTATTACCGCTTATCGTTAAAATGTTGCTGGCCTGTGTCCCTAGTAAAATGTATATTTTAAAGGCTCTTTATTACGGTTTTATATTTATCTGCAATGTAGCACAGTGTTAACAATGTTACAGCATTCCTGGAACTCAAACCATTTCCTGATGCCCCAGAAATATACATTTAAATACTTACATCATCATAAACTGGGATGATCCTAATATTTAATCTACTTAAATTAACAGCTGGAATAAAGATATCACCAAAAATATGGCATGTAGGCACTCAAGTATTTAGCAGCCTCGAGTCTTAGCAAAGCTCAGACTGACGTTAAACTTGTTGCAACTGTTTTTATTATTAACGTTACAGGTTATCTCTTGATGGCTCATCCCTTTAAGGTACTTTCAGAATTAACCTCAGCCACATTTTACAAGAAATAATCTTTCTTTGCTAATATAGGGGGAAAATATAAAATAAACGCTTTAGGTTTAATTAGCTTATTTGTGATTTTAACGTTAGTCCTGTCAAGCAGCATCCGTTAATCTTTTAAGTTTGAGTTAACTAGCAGTGCGAGTTAACGGCGAAAAACTCTTAGCACGTATTTAGCATAAAGTCTGTAAAAACTACTTACAATAACTCGGACAAATCGTTTGAATGCAAGAACAAACAATCCAGCTACACTTTCTACACCCATGTGGCAGCGTGTTCTTCAGTCTCCTTAACATTAACGTAAGCTAACGTTGGCTAGCCGCCGCCGAGGTTGCGGTGCATGAAATGGAGAAATCTAGTTAATATGCAACTCTTTAATGTTTCTGACCTACCGGGGCAGTACTTTTATTTATTTCTTGGGATTACATGCTTGTTCTCTCAGTGATTAACACATTTATTACATTATAAAAAAGACACTCACTTGCTAGACAGGCGAACGCGTGTTCACTTCGAGGTTAGCACGGACAGAAAGGAAGTTACGTCGCCGGAAGCAAACGGAAGACGCCTCTCTTCTTCGTCGTCTTCAATAAAAGACCGACAGCAAGTAAACTGCTGCATGCTGTATCGGAGTGTGTAATGTAAGCTTTAAGCTTCACGGCTCAAGTTTCTAGGGAATCTTAGAGAAGCTGTCACCGTTTCAGACTTGCATATGTGTATTTTTAACACTTATCCAATACGAGAAACTCATTATCAAAACATCACATTATGCTGATATGTCATTGTGCAGTCATGAGCGTTAGTTCATTAACCTCTGCCACACTAGCCTAAATGTTTCATTCATAATATGGGATATCTATATAAAAAAAGATAAACAAATCTTTTTATTTTTATTTCTGTTAAAGACTCCTTAATCCAAAAAGCTGAGGAATGCAAGTGGTATTTATCTGAATGTGTGATTTTAACAAGGTGCAAGGTAAATGTATTCATCATATTATAACAATTTGTAAAATTAATCAGTTTGGAGTATCCTTATGATCTTCCAAGACATATATTTGGAAACCTCCTTTATGTCTTTGAAATGTGTAGCCTACCTCTTACATTTTTTTTTTAATTGTTTTTCGGTCTATTTATTTTAACATTGTATGTCTTATTTTTGTTTGTTAATAACTTTGCAGAAAATATTAAGGTGTTATTTGTATCTGCCTTTGTACATGTTCCATTTTTGTTCCATGTTATTCGTCTATGTTTAATCTCTCATAGATGGTATCTCCATCATTTAAGGTTTTTTTTTTACAGGTTTTACTGCAGCAATATCTGTTTGGAAAGGAAGTTTTCTCAGACCGCTATCTTTAAATCTTCACATTGGAGAATTCTTCACATTGTTTTATAATTGATTTGTAGTTTCTTCGAATTAGTTGTCTACTCTGTGGTAGGGTTGGTGCTTTTGGTAGTCTTATTTCTCCAGTTTTATTTTTTCATAAAAACAAACTGTGTGTAAGTGTGTGTGTGTTTGTGTTTTACTGTACGGGATATTGACATGAATCAGTTTCTTCTTCCTTGTCAGCTCTCACTGCTAATTTGGCCCCTGATCCAGTTTGGCCTCCTGCTTCGTCCTCAGCCCCTGCTGCTGCTGCTGGGCTTGCTCCTGGGCGTGATTGATTTTGGTTGCCAGAAAGGATGAAGTGAGCCGTCCTCACACAACACTCTGCAGTGGACCACACCACAAGTCCAGCAGCTATGCTCTGGACTCAGGCTTTAGTGTGATCAACCAGCTCTAATGAATCGCTGTCACGTGCACCTGCTTGGTTCCAGGCAACCGGCCACTGATCTACCACTGAGCTCCTGTTACAGAGCTCCTCTCAGTATATAGATGCAACTACCTTTTAAAGATAACTACAGTATATCAAGCAGACATTTGGGAGAGACATTGAAGGCTACAGCCAAATTTTGCTTGTCAACTGACCTCAAAACATTTCACAAAGTTAAATCAATCTGTCTGGTTAAAAATCAATCTAACAATCTAACATTCACAAAAGTTGCATTTATTACAGAACTATATTGCTTTATAGCTGTCTGATCAGCATTTTGATATGCCACTTGCTCACTAACACAGATTTTTTATTACAGATTTGTGAACAATATTTGAGAGAAATAGGCCTTTTGTGTACATAGAGGAAGTCTTAGATCTCTGAGTTCAGCTCATGATGAATGGGGGCAAAAACATTTTATTTAGTGTATGTGAATATGAATTACTTAATTTGAGAACAGGCAAATAAATAAGAGTGCTTTTATGCTGGCAGTGCTGCCAAAAAATCAGGTTTAGCAGCATTTATTTAGAACGCAAAACTACATGTAAAGTGAAACATGGAGAGACGTACGACAGGGAATAATTGCAAATATGAAGAACAGGCTTTTTTTGGGCTTCCAAAGGGGGAAGGGGATGCCATTAGCCAGTAGGAAACCACTTGGTCCATCCCTGTACATTTGAATGTCTCCATGGTTTTTTGACCACTAAATTGTAGGTTTAAAAGAAACATTTGAACTTCATCACATTTTAGAAACTACTCCATCTAAGTAAAACTGACACATCAATTATGTTTCAACTACCGTGATGCTCTTACCAAGTTTCTCTTTCCATCTCTGAAGTACTTTCCTGCTTTTCATACAAGTAAGGCAAGACGGCGAAAGAGGATCATTGAAGTGGAAAACATTTTGTAAGAAAATAAACTGGTTTTCGCAATAGTTGAGAATTCAAGTTCATTCTGCATTCATTATTCCAACAGAATTTGGTAGCAAACATTTTCCCCTTTCCCTCTACATCAAATAGGGCTCTTGCTGTGTTATATGCATGCTATTGATGTTGAACTTCTATCAATCCTCTACCACACATACCCGTCCTTCAAATGAGACGTTAAACCAAGCTCCTGACTCATTGTGGTCATTAAAGATCCCGCGGCACTTGTCGCAAAGAGTAGGGGGTTCCCCAGTGTTCACAACCTGGCTTTCACCATCTGGCCATCTAATTATCCCCCGTAGTAATTGGCAATGTTTCCCTCCCTCTCTGCCTCAAGCTGATGTGTGGTGAGCGTTCTGGCGCTAAATGGCTGCCGTGCATCACCCAGGTGGGTGCTACACATTGGTGGTGGTTGAGGTGAGTCCCCCCCACTTCACTGTGAAGCGCTTTGAGTATGTATGATAAAGCGCTATATAAATGTAATTCATTATTATTATTATTATTATTATTATACAGCATACAGTATGTGTCATGGTATGGCAATTATTATGAAGAGTGAAGACTCTGTAGTCCATGTGCAGCATTAAGTACGTCTTTTACTACCTTTAGTGATTGTTTCCAATGTCATTAAGCTGTAAAACTTGTGTGTAAAAGATGCTGAAGACGACTTACATTTAAGCACTGTTTTATTTAGCCTCCAGTCCAATTATTGTCATGTTCTACATCACAACATTTTACATTCCACATCAATGTAATACAGTAAATTAGATAAGAAACCAGAGAACACAAAATAACAACACAGTCTACAGGTAATAATCCTAAACAAGCACTGACTAAAACATTTCAAAACATTATCAAAGTTGTCACAAATGTTGCAAGTTTGGTCTTTGTACTAGAAAGAAAAACTCAGTTCAGATCTCAGAAAAGAAGTGCTGACCTAGGACAATTCATCTCTTTAAGTCTGTCAGGTCATACAGCCAAGTGACCTCAGTAATCGTCCCACATCAGAGCTGCTTTTCAGAGAGGCTTCGCCGATATGGCCCTGGTACACGGTCAAAATGGAAGTACCAATTAATCCTGGTGTTTGTTTTTTTTAGGAAAATCACTTATAAAAATTGAGAAAAATATCAAAAGAAAAGTATTATAAAAAATACTCTATTGACCATTCCAATATATATAAGGAAGTGGGTAGAAAGTTGAAGGGTACTTTGCAAAATATTGCAATTAAGTTGGACAATGGTCAGTGACATTCAGTGGAGCGTGTGACTGTGTAATATCAATACCTAGTCTCATTACATTATGTTCCCGATTTACTATACATGTTTGTAAGCAGTGAATCTAGCTAGCTAAAGCTGGATAAAACACAATTAAGTGACAAACTTTACATTATATTAGGACATTTCAACTTTTATGTACATCTGCTTAATTTTCTGCCTCAAAACAAACATATCGTCAAAGTAGCCTGTGGAATGGTCTATTCCTAACCACACTTTCACACAAGCCTATTCTTCTACATGCATCCTGACAATCATTAGATAGCAAAACTAATATCACACAGACATTTTCACTGCAACTACTTGATGGTAATCAGCATGAGTATGTTATAACAAATCTTGTAAATGCCTCACAACATTATGTAACTCCAAAGTGTCCACTGATTGCAGCGGTCCCAAAATACATCATATTACATTAGACATTTGTCCACACAGCCTTCATGTAGTAATTGTCATTAAAATTCTACAGTAAAATTACAGTTATTTTGCACCAGTACAGGATATTTCCAAAGTTTTAAATGACTTTGCATAGATAATTGATTTTCATTCAGTTTTTGCAGGACTGTGTGTGTTTGTTTTTATTTTACACTTTGTCCCAAAATTCAGCTTTTTAATAAAGGAGTAAAAGGATTACAGGAAGCACACCAACTGAATACAACTGAGCTATGTGCTATCATCATTTATTGTGGACTATTTAAAGCAATATTAAAGTAAGACATAATCCACTAAACTTGAGTGAAGCTAATCCCGCAAGTTAACCTGATATTTAAAAGGAAGAGTGGACTTTGAGCTGACACGGAGGGCAATAATGGACACATGTAGACAACGTAACAGACAAGTCCAACTTTTACTTTCGTAAACTATAATTTTAAGATTTCAAAAAAAAAACAAAAAAAACCTTTCCACTGATAACAACATTTTAGAAGACTTAGTGATACATTTAGTGACGTTAAGTAATCTTTTTTTGAAGTACAAATGGTTACGCCTGGTGCCACTCATCGGATAGATCACTAAAAGCACACAAGCATATTTTGGAGAAAACAATATCAAATTTGGAGCAACGCTAGAGCAACTGATGTCATAGGCAGTTGCTCGTGCTGAACCTTATTGTATGTTAAGAGATGGTAGATAAAATAAAATAACTACATCACAAAAACTGTTCAAGATTAGAGGAGAAACCATTGACCGTACAGTGTATTACAACAGAGAGAGACTGAAGCTACACTGAAGGTAAAGGTTTTCCCGCTTTCATACATGGCCATGTGTTTCTGTTACTTTATCCACCATCCATCAATTTTCTACATCAGTAAAACAGATCACAACTAGCTTTGTGGTTCCTATTTTCCTGTGTGAATTATGTGATGCGCTGATCCTGGATCCTGGGACTAGACAATAGTATGGCTAAAGTCAGCTAAAGCCTAGTTTACATTATTCTATATTCATGCTGTTGCATCTACCAGGGAAACAAAACACTGTTGGGAATAAATTAAATTTATCTTCTGATACTTTGTTGTCCCACACACTGAAAGACTGGATGTTGCAGAGAGTAACTTATATTCCCTTTGCAGACAAATCAAGAAAGGCCATTGAATTCTCTTGTTTCATATCAAATAAGTAAGTATTCAGAATACAAGTTTTTTAAAGAAAAACATGACTTACGGACTTGTTTGATTGACATGTTGCATGAGAGGCTTCTGAATGAGGAAAGGATTTTTAAGCATTAATATTCCACATCATAAGATGTTTTGTCATGATACGAGGAACACCGTTACAACAGCTGAAGATGCATTCTACAAACACTTTAAACATTATTTCTAAGTGTTGTATATGTAAACGTGGAAGGAGATCCAACATATACAGTATGTTGGGGCTTATTGACACCGTTTTGACATTAGCCTGCTTAAAACCGCATATCACAACAAACCTGAGGGTTTTTCCGTAATGTTCATTATCATTCTTATTTCAACATGATGGGCAGTTAGAATATTACATACATTTTATTGGTGCAACTAAACTGTTGGTTTTAATAAAAATGACAAATGTCTAGGTAAGGAAATAAATCTAGTGTCAGTTCGTAAAGAAAATGTTGTTGCAAGCATCATATATCAGATTTACGGCATAATCCACTGTGTAAAGTCTTGATTAACATGCAGTTGCCAAATCCAGTATTGTGTCTGCCATTTCATTCATCAAAACAATGATGAAAGCTCATATTAGGAATTATTGTGATTTAAAGAGACTGTTTCATATTATCAGACTGCTTGATATTACAAAAAATATTCTTCCTCATTTTGAACTTTCACTGAATGATGCAAACAATGCTAACAAGTTGGCTGTTATTTTGAGCAAAGATCAAAGATGAATGTTAAGAAACTGACTTTTCATTAACTACCGTACCTGGCAAAGGAAAAACATGACATATAGTACCCTCCTGATTTACTTCAACACAAATTAATCAGAAGCTGAACTGGTTTCATCTCATGTCATGCTGACTGAACATTTGCTACTTCGATAAAAGTAAAACTGTGAGTCTCTGTCGCAACAGGAATTTAGTTCAAAAGTTGCAAAGATCCCATTACATTACTTACAGTACCTGCTGAGATTTTTGTAGTGTGGTAGGACATTAGAAAACCGGTATTTGAAGTGTCCTTTCGGTGGTTTCCCTTATTATCAAACTAACTAATTCACTCATCAACTCTTCCCTATTCTGGACTTTCCAGTAGAGCGGCAATAAAACTAAAGTTTGCACAAGTGAAGAGTTTTATGTTAACATGTGTTGTTGAGAATAACAGATGCAAAGCATGTAGTAAATCCTGCCACAAGCATTTAATTACCAGTCCTTGACTTTAAACCATTAGAAAGAAAAAAAGAACAATGAACACAATACATAAGATGAATGTGTTTGCCCTGAGGCACTTGGTAGTGGCTGTGATAAAATAATTAAAAACACTACCTTTCTAGTCAAAGGAATTGTGGTTTTAAAAGCACTCAAAGTTGCATTCAAATTGTCAATTCAAAAATAATGCACGTGAGTGACCACCTACATTGACAATCATGATCATTCTAGTGTTTGACTAGAGTTGCAGTGTCCAGTGTAACAATGGCAAATATTAAAATTGCTACAGAAAACGCTAGAAGCACAATATACAGTATGTGCGAGTAGGAAACAAAACTAATCTTGTGTGTTTTTGTATTTTTGGGTGGCAGGGAGATAAGAAACAGACCAGAACAAATGGCCATAATGCTAGAGGAGGAGAGACATGGGAGCTGGGCATCAGCATGGAAAATTCCTACTGGGGATAGTTGTTCTGTTGCCGGCGCTTCGCCGACCTCATTTTCTCAAAGCGTGACTCCATTTCCTCTAGGACTTTGGGGGTATACCTTACTACCAGCTTCACAGTGCCCTGAGCTGCTTTGAGGAGTTCCACAGCTTTCTCATGGTGCTCACCTTCCACACTCTGGAAAGAAGACACATAACAGCTGTAGTAAAGTTGAACGGTTTTATAGGTTTTTTATTTCAAAAAGCAATATACTACGGGGAATTGTTAAGCACAAGATCAACTAGGTACAGTGGATAGAAAAAGTCTATACACCCCTGTTAAAATGCCAGGTTCTTATGATGTAAAATAATGAGACAAAGATAAATCATGTCAGAACTTTTTCCACCTTTAATGTGAACAATTCAATTGACAAACAAATTGAAATCTTTGAGGGGGGAAAAATAAAAACCCTTAAATAACCTGGTTGCATAAGTGTGCACACCCTTAGACCAATATTTTGTTGAAGCACCTTTTGATTTTATTACAGCAGTCAGTCTTTTTGGGTAGGAGTCTATGAGAATGGCACATCTTGACATGGCAATATTTGCCCACTCTTCTTTGCAAAAGCATTCCAAATCTGTCAGATTGCGAGGACATCGCCTGTGCACAGCCCTCTTCAGATCACCGACATCACAGATGTTCAATTGGATTCAGGTCTGGGCTCTGGCTGGGCCATTCCAAAACATTAATCTTCTTCTGGTGAAGCCATGCTTTTGTGGATTTGGATGTGTGCTTTGGGTCGTCGTGCTGAAAGGTGAACTTCCTCTTCAGATTTCTAACCTATGTCTGAAGGTTTTGTGCCATAATTCCCTCCACCCTGACTAAGGCCCCGGTTCCAGCTGAAGAAAAACAGCCCCAAAGCATGATGCTGCCACCACCATGCTTCACTGTGGGTATGGTGTTCCTTGGGTGATGTACAGTGTTGTTTTTGCACCAAACATACCTTTTGGAATTATGGCCAAAAAGTTCTACCTTGGTTTCATCAGACCATAATACATTTTCCCACATGCTTTTGGGGGACTTGATGTTTGTTTTTGCAAACTTTAGCCGTGCTTGGATGGTTTTTTTGGTAAGAAAAGGCTTCCGTCTTGCCACCCTACCCTATAGCCCATTCATATGAAGAATATAGGAGATAGTTGTCACATGTACCATACAGTTAGTACTTGCCAGAAATTCCTGCAGTTCCTTTAATGTTGCTGTAGGCCTCTTGGAAGCCTCCCTGACCAGTTTTCTTTTCATCAATTTTGGAGGGACGTCCAGTTCTTGGTAAAGTCACAGTTGTGCCATATTTTCTCCACTTGATGATGACTGTCTTCACTGTGTTCCATGATATATCTAATGCTTTAGAAATTCTTTTGTACCTGTCTCCTGACTTATGTCTTTCAACAATGAGATCTTGCTGATGCTTTGAAAGCTAAACAACTAAGAAAATATCAGGAAAATCCTACTAGAACAGCTGAACTTTATTTGTGATTAATCACAGTCACTTTAAATGATGGCAGGTGTGTAATGACTTCTAGTTAACCTGAGTTTGAATGTGATTGGTTAATTCTGAACACAGCCACATCCCCAGTTATAAGAGGGTGAGCACACTTCTGCAACCAGGTTATTTGAAGGTTTTTATTTTTCATTTCCCCCCCTCAAAGATTTCAATTTGTTTTTCTATTGAATTGTTCACATTAAAGGTCGAAAAAGTTCTAACATGATTTATCTTTGTCTCATTATTTTACATCATAAGAACCTGGCATTTTAACAGGGGTGTGTAGACCTTTTCTATCCACTGTATGTTGTAACTTTGAAAGAAACAATGAACTCAGTATTTTAAAAGGCATTGGAGTGAACATAAGCTTTGGCAGCTTGGTTCAACTTACCATATAAAAGTTTGTAATTTGGACATTTTACTGAACAATTAACAGTCAGTTGGATAATTGTCTTTGGCTGATCCAGGAATTCAAGCTGTGGCCAGAAAGTGCTGAATGTTGTAGCTAATATGGAAGAGCCAGAAGGTACCCTGTGGAGTTTGCCTTTTGTTGTAAATATATGCTTACATTCACTGTTTCTAAAACACATCTCTGAGGCCTAATAATGCTTTGATTGCATTTACTTCCCCGTAACATTTTCAAAACAACATTGTAAACCTCCATACTTGCTTGCTAGCAGTCTTCTTCTCCCTTGCTTTATTGGCGCATTGCTACATTTACTGGTGACAATTCTTACAAACAACTGTGGATGAGTGGAATCGCGTAAAACCATCGGCAGGACTGAGTACATGTTTCCTTCATGCACGGGTGCAGGCTTGAGTGTCCTCGCTGACAAATCAAGGACCCACTCTTAAAAACATTGCTCTGTAGCACTATTAGTGGTCAAGAACTCCACAGGGTACCTTTCAGATACAGTTTTTCTAATAGCAGCTTTGTGCTAGCTCTGTAAGCAAAGGGACTGATGGAAACTGGCACATGTGCATTGTTTATTAGCTTCTATTACTAATAGTGAACCAACAGGATGATGAAAATATTTCTCTGATGCCTGATTTCTGGAGACACCTGTCATCTTTTCCAGGTCTCCATGGTGGAGAGGAGGTCGTGTGGCTCTTACTATGTTGGTGTATTCTGTACAGATGACAGCTATGTATGTCTGTCTGTCCTGGATTCCTCCTCTGTTCCTGAGGTTTCTTTCAATTTCTTTCCACGTTTAAGTTTTTTTTCTCCCTTAACTGAACTGAGGTCTAAGCACATTAGACAGAGGCAAATTTATGATTTGTGAAATTTGGCCACATAAATAAAACAGACTTGACTTTGAGTGTAGATGTGAATTTTAAATGTTTTAAATTCTTAATCTATCCTAATTGCTGAACTGTTTATTATCTCACTTAGTGTATAATGAATGCGAGTTTTCAAAAACATCAGCTTTGCCTTTTTGCTTCTTGTTTTACCGACTGTTAAATTGACTAGTCTGCAAAATGTGTAAATGTCATCAGGTGTCATGTTAAAATGCTAAAGCTTCAAATCTAACATCCCGGAGTAAGTCATGATTCTGTGAATTCAACGTACCACTCCATTAACAGAGAGAAGCTGGTCGCCTCTCTTCAAGCCTCCATGTCGGTCAGCGATGCCTCCTGGGATGATGCGTGAGATGTAAATAGGTGAGTTTTGCTCCTTTCCGCCCATTATATTGAAACCCAGGCCTTCTTCTGTCTTGGGCAGTTCAACGACGCGTGGATGTGAGTGTCCCTCACTTGCTGCAAAAGCTGCCACAGTAGCCTACAAATAAACAAGGTGATGTTTCAAATATCCTGTATTTACTTCACTCAACACGCAATGTGACGTGTTCAATTAAAGCGCCCTTTAGAACCAAATGGTCTGAAATTATACAATTAAATGTGCACAAGTAAAATGCTGCATATTAGATGGTACTTTACTTGGGTCTACCTTAGCTGTGGCGTTGGCCCTGACCTCAGGACTGCTGTTGATGTCCACTGTTTCATACACATGTTCATAAACCTAAAGAGACATTGTTTCCATCAATTCCAAAAGGTGAACACAAAAGTAATCACACCAAACTCAATTTTTTTTGAAGAGATAACTTTAACATCAGAAGAGAAAAGTGAACTAATAACATCTCACAGTTATGTGTTTTAAAAACGACAAAGTGTCTCACTTCTCTGACAGCATTACAGAATTCACTCTGTAAGACCCTTTGCAGTGCCTGCAGCTTCTGGGGAGGCACTTCCCCTGTCCTCTGGAGCTTATCAAGCAGTTCAACCGCACGGCTAATGTCTGTCAACAACAAAACACACACAACCATCAAGGATTTCACTGATCTGTACGTTGTCACTGCCTGCGTGAATGGCAGTACTCCACAGTGTTACCACTCAATTAATGTCTGACAAATGATTTACTAATTATTAAAATTTAAATCAATTTTATGCCATGACTTCAATTCGTTTACCTCGACTGACGCTACATTTGTTCAGATTATAAATACTTTGTCCCTATGGGGAAAGCTTGTCTGGTTTACAGTACAGTTTATCTACCATAAATAAAAAATAACTCTAAGCTACATTAATCAATAGGGCAACTTCCAATATGTCATGCTTCAGAGCAAGATATAGTGCTCAATGATATACTGCGCTGCCGCTGGATTTACGTGGAGATTAAGTACATTTCAATACCATCATATCATTTACTTATGTTTTACAAATTAGTAATCGCCTCTGCCACCACAGAGTGGATGAGGCAAAACCACCAACTGCTCTATCAAAATAAATAATGTGAAATTGCACAATCAAGGACAAAACAAGTGTTTCCCCATTTTCCTCTAATATTCTGTTTATAATTTTCCATTTAGAGTTTATTTTATCCCGTGGAATTAGTTAGAAAGAAGAAAATACGTTGTTTTCTTAATCTGTGCTAATTGATGTAACGTTACCTGATTCCTTAATATAAATATTTCCTCCTGCTCGTTCTGGCTGCTAATTGTGATATAACGTTAGCTGGTGTAACAAAGTGTATGAGGCCTCGATTCTTTTCTATGCAAACGTACACTGAACATTTGAAAAACCAGCTAGGTTAACGTTAACTTAACTGACCCTGTCTGTTATCACAAATTTTAGTTAACGTTACTTCACTAAGTTAATGCGCAAAGTAAAACAATGCAGCCGTAAAAACTATTGTTACTTTAGGTTGGTGCCAAGAATACACACAATTAGGCAAAGCCATAAGCATTAGAACACATCGTTAACGCAAGGTTAGCCAACTAAACATCCTAAAGTACGCTGCCCAGAACAATCACCAGCTATATTTGGCTAACTCTAGCTAAGCTAGGTATATGGTCTCCCTTGTACTCCCTTTTCACAACAAATATTTTTAAGCTAACGCTATCTAGCCAATTAACTTTACCTCTTTCCAACCGCACAGGCTCCCCAAGCGATGCCATTCTTGATATTAATGGTGACTTGATGTTAGGTAGATATTGCGTTAAACGTTAGATATGGTAAAACTAAATTTGGTAATCCTGACTACCGCTACGTGCGCTTAACCTAGACGATAAATCAGATTAGCCAAGTTAGCCGGCTAGGCTAGCTGCCAGTGTCACGGTGCGTTCATGTAATCCTCGAAAACTGGAGAAGCCACCAAACTCATCACGTTCTTTCATAGTGACTTGATGATCGTGAGCCAACACTGAAGGCCTCTTCGGTGAATCAGTCAATGCTTTAAATTATTTATCTAAAAAACAATTCCTAAATAATTTCTTAACATTTCCAAACAATCCAGAAGTAAATATGTATTTATGCAATGTGTCATCCATTTGTACATATATAATTATCTAAAATATCATAAATATCAATCTACCGTTCTCACAATATCACCTATGGCTTGGTGTAGCTGACAATGGAAGTTATTTCCATTATTGAGGATCTTTCATTCTTACACTTTTGGTGATTTATGCATGTATAATTAAGGAGTTGATTTCCACTCAAGAAGTTGGATATTTCTGTGACTATAGGGTTTGGGTTGTGTAAGTTAATTTTACTGTGCTTAGCCCACTGTAGGTCTTATTGGCCTGCATCCAGGAAAAAAGGTGAGGAAAGGTGCCCACTGTGATCCCAATCATACAACACAATTTGACGATCACACAATCAACTAAAACAGTGATAATCTAGTGTTTAGTGCATCATTCATTTAACAGATGTCCTGGACCTCTGCATGAATGTTCATAGCTCAAGGGATTGTTACGTCCTGTGTATCGGTGACAAGAGACCGTGCACCCAGAAGCTTCTTTGGTTTTTTGCTGACACTTGGGAGGAACGGGCTCTCTACTGCCCTCTACTGGTCGACTGCAACACATCGACTGCACTGCTCTCTGTGGGCTGAAACTTTTAAGCACGGTTCAATTTTGACCACTCCTGCTATGGCATGCACGGATTGGGGCGTGGCCAGAGACTCCACACATTTAGTGGGGGAGCAGCAGTAGCTGTCCTTTTTTTCTATACAATAGGCACATTGCGTAAAAATGTAAACTTTTTTTCTTCTTGTTTTTGTCTTTATGCTTCAGCCACAGCTCTGAGTCAAATAAATACTACACATCATTCTGTAAAATCTATTTCCGTGCATGATTTATGATCACAAAAGAAAAAAATGGGCTTTCTTTTTCTGCAAACATGGGCTTTGCCTTGGCTCAAAGACAACTGGTGATTTCAGAGTCAATTTGTCCATTACTTTAATAACTGTGTGATGGGTGGATTTTAGTTTTCTCTTCCTTAAGCTTGGCTAAACAAAAACGTTCTACTCATGATAAATAGAGCAACCTGGAATACCTCATCTAAAATACTTTGCAGAAGGTCTGAGTCAATGTTGTGTTGCTTTAGTGCTCAGACACTACTAAATCATTCTAATCATTCAAGGCAGATCAACTGCTTTTCTTCCCGTAGGATAATAGAAAACCTCGGCATGATATTTGTTCTTACTTGGTTTGTGAGGCATTGACAACAAACCTCTGTACCTTTTATTGGAGATTTATGACAATAGATCATTTGAGAGACACTACTGCATGCTTGTTATCTTTCTCTGAGTTGGCGTGGAGACTCCCTATTTGTTCTCCGCTTCTTTATAAGAAAAGTCACTTACAGCATCTTCATCAGCCTCCTCCGTACGATCCAAGAGAAATAGAGAAGAAAGTGGAACATCTTTTTGTCCCCCTCGTTTCAGCAAGTTGTTCTCCAAAATCTCAAAATGCCAGATCCGGTTCTCTTCAGAGGTCACACTTACCTTCAGGTTGACGGAGGAGAGGTAAAATGAGGTGGTTGGGATGTAACACAAACATAAGACATAAGTGAAGCCTTCAATTAAGCTTTGTATGAGTGTTGTCTCTTTCTGGAATTTGTCATATTATGGGTATTTCATGATGTCGCTATGTGATGCACTGAGTTGTAATCTGCAAGAGGTAATGTTGATATGTAGCTGAAGTACTCTTTTAACCCAGATGCCAAACCAGTTACCTAGAATGGCTTTTCCTTCTTATCCCAATGAATGTACAGCTACATAAAATCTGATCTGTGGTGATTAATCTCTTGTAGAAGATTTAAAGATGGGATTACCATGCACTAATAAGAACATTGTGGGTGTGTATTTTCAATGTACACAAATGTATGGGTGGGTGAATCCATCACTGTCAAACTCAGACATGCTTCATGTGCAACCATACCTTACTTGTACTAGTGTTCACTTGAATGTGTAGGCGCTTTTCTTGTGATGGTAAGTTCTTGTAATTGTGAAACATTGCATGTGCAGCTGGACTAACAATTAAGTAAATCTCCGAACACCTGTGCATAAACACCAAGTATCAGAGGATGTACAGTAAATTTGTGTTCCAGTGATGTGCTGGTGGGGAGTAGGAAGTGGTTTAAGAGCATGTTCCTACTTTTTCTCTCCTCACAATAACACCAAAATCTGCAACATTCACATTCTCTCCACCCATAACAGTCATTTTTGCTGTTGCTATATATTACTCAATGTATTGACTCCTCTGCTACAGAAAAGATGTGATTTTCTAGCAGCTTGTGGAATTTTAAATACCTACTTATGTCATTCATAGTTTTGATGTGATAATTTTTGGCGATTGTGTGCATGCATGTGTGTGTATGTGTGTGACTACATTCCTCCCTGCCTGCCTGTGTGTATAATACAGTTTATCCTGCCCGGAAATGCACTGTTGAAACTTTATCGACATTGATTTTGTTTTTCAGTTGCCTATAGTCATTTTTATTTCTTCAAATATTTCAGTTTAATATTGCAAACAACTTCACAACATACAAAATGAATAATATTAACCCAGAAACATGTCAATGAATATTTATATATATATATATGTGTATACATATATATATATGTGTATATATATATATATATATATATATATATATATATATATATATATAATCTTTTTATATATATATATCTTGTCCTCTGGTGGGGATAAAAAAATAAACAGCAAAGCTTTGACAACAGCACCTTGACATAGTATGTAATTCCAACATTACCTTGAGAAGTTTAGAACAGTAAACAGATAAATTACTGGAGAGGAAAATTGTTTTCTGCTGATTATGTAAACGGAATGTTTTTTTGGTCAGCATCATATCCTTTTTTGTAAGTGGAGAATTTCTCAATTCACAATTGAAGCAGCATGCAAGCTTTTGAAGATGGAACTGTCCTCTCTCATTTCTTGCCTGTTTTTTCCCTTCATTTTCTAATTCTTGGCAATGTAAACAAATCACAATGTCTTGAGGAATGTGATATAGTAATTTAAACTGGGCGCAAATGACTGATCAGATTTTTTTTAATTGTTTACAAGGTCATGAATATGTTCAATAAATAGACTGTAGTATCACTTTTACTGTATAAACTTCATCTTTTTTTACATGCAGTCCATAAAATTTTCATTTGACGGAATAATTTACCCTGTTATGTATATATACAAATAGATATTTTCTCTTTATTCTCTTTTTTAAACTCTTCAATAAAATCTATACATTTTATACACTATCTCCCTCTTTTAATGGTCAATGTGCATACACACGAAGTGTCTATCCTTATAAACCGCCAGCCAATCTTCTTTTTGCTATCCATGGTAAGCGCTCGCACATAGGACTGGGTTGTCCTGCATTGGGAATTATAATGCCGCTTGTCTATTCCTCTGCAGCCCTCCTTTGTGTACCCCATGGGGTTGCATTTGGTCTCATAAAAGTATTGCTTCAGTTGGCCGTTGGGGACAGGGACCTTTTCCATGACGGTAACTGTCTGCCCAGACATGTCAATTGCCGTCTTTTTATCCACAGCTGTCACCCACTGGCTAATACTGTCACACACACTGAGCTCTCCGCGCCGTGAGGGATCGGAGTGTCGCCGCACCCTCATGGACATATTAGCAGCATCCAGATAGTTTTTGTATTCCTCCAGAAGAAAGAGCAACGGCGGCTCCAAAGGCACTTGGTTGCTGATCATCACTCGCGAGTCGTACAGGTCGACATCCTTGGTCTCTGTGGTGACCACAGAGGATGGACCCCCACCTCCCTGGCTCTTATCAGCCCCCTGTCCCAGCTGTGCCGCCTCGCCCTCCACCTCCAGCAGCTCCTCTATCACCTGCTCAAACGTGTCTGTGAGTGAGGGCAGTTCCCCGCGCTGGCCTGGCCCACCACCACTCTGTGGAGTCCCATGGCCTCTTGCGGCCGTCGCAGCAGCGCCCAAGTAGCCTTCCGTCCGATGACCCCGCATGCCCGGGACGTCTCTCAGGGGCGCAGCTCTCATGCAACTGAAGTATGAAATAACCATAGTAAGGAACAGGATGGTCATCACTCTTCTAACCTGGTGGAACTGGAGGGGGAGAGAAAGACAGAAAACAAGAGGGAAGATGGGGGGAGAGACAACAAGACAGTTAGTCAAAGAGCATTTTCAATGACGCTAGCTTATTCTTGATCCATAATGCACCATGTAAGCCTATCCTATTTTTTACACCCTCTACTCTTTTTTTAGCAAGCCAAAAAGGGAGCCAGTAGCTTTGGAATAATCACAAAATGTTAAACTGATATTGGCGCTTTGTCATCAGGATTTTCAAATTGTTTGCAAACTGTAATGATTCTGTTCCTATGTGAGGTCTGGCTTAGATTTTTAATTTGTTGGCAGCAATGCACAAAAGCTGTGCTGAGCATCAGAGAGATTGCTTATTACAAAAGATAAGATTACACAAATGATGTCACTACATCCTTACAGGCTTGCTGTTATTTATGAGCTTTTCTTCAGCTGGTGTGTTAAACTTTACATTTTATTTCTATAGCTTGAAAAGATGTGCAGTTTTATAACGGCCAAACCCGTCATTCATCCCTCACTGCCCACATCATTGTGCTGTCTTAAAACTTTGTAAAGGACATGGTGGATTTTCATATTCTTAAACTTCATGTTTAGTAAGGCCAGTAGTTACCTGAATTGTTAAATGTTGTTGGATGCATTTTGGCCTCCAATCATGTGAGGGTCAATTGTGAAGTGGCTAAAACTGTAAAGGCTGTGCGTGTGTTGACATAAGGATATGGTTTTGTTTGT